GGTTTTGCATCAGGAGGAGACGAAAAGGAAACAAATTTTGGAAAAAGTATAAGCAACACAAATTCTGTTACAAATTATAATAACTGTTTCAATTGTAGGTATCAAAACTAGAGCAAAGACTGTTATCTTTGCAATCTGCTCAAGCAATGCGTTGCCACGCTTGTCGTCCGTACGTTTCACGGATGACCAAACTTGAAACAAAACTTTCTCAACTTGTTGCTGAACGAAAGCGACATCTTCAAGAACTTGCCCAAATGAAGTATTACTTTCTTGAAACGGCAAATGCGTAGTTTTATTGTACTTTCAATTTCAGAAGGGAAGCTTTGGAATCTGCAATCAGTGAAAAGGATGCACATTTAGCCTTGCTGGAAATGACGGGGATTCGAAGTGCAAGACACGCCGACGAAGCTGATCGTCTTCGAACGGACAAACGAAGATTAGTTGAACGACTTAAGAAAGAGGTATTTTCTAAACTGATAATTTGACGAATTTGATGAACGCGTTTTTTAGACTGAGTTAAGCGTTTCCTTGAACGAGACAGACGAAGATGAGCGATCCTTTTACAGTTTATACGAAGAAGACGAAGCTCAAAAAGATTCCCTCGACCCATCTTGAGCTAAAACCAAATTTACCAAAGATTCCAATGATCTCAGCAATAAAGAATATTATAGGCAACCGTTATCAGGTTGCCGCCATTATTTCAGAAGCACTGCCTGTAAACTTGTATTAAGTACCACATAAACATTGTGAACGTGTTAGTTTATTATTGTTACCTGTTCGAGTTTAGACATGACAATAATTAATGGAATGGGGCAGAATTGTTTTCGGTAGTTCGGTTGTGTTACTAAAATTCGCCTTTGTCGACATTTAAAACAACTCAACATTAGCGAAATTTTTGTGATTTGTTTTACTCTGCAATGTTGGACCTTGATTTCGATGCTCTCTTATAAAGCGGCTATAATTTTTGTATGGATCATTTTGAAAATTGTAAATCGATGCGACCCGAGTCCGATTACTTTAAGTGCGTGTATGTGTGAATTTTTGCCACCGTTTGCGGCCACTGATAAGTATTACATATTTTATACAAAACACTAGTTCAGTTTAAATTTTAAAAAATCTAAATTTAAGTAACATTCCTGTAGCAATTTTTCAACATTCCGTTAGATTCTAAATGCTGCAAATGGTGGCGTAGCGCCTCCTATTTTGTAAAAAGCTGGTATGCCATACTTTAAGTACAAATGAAATATTGTATTTCTCCATGCAAATACGTATTATACATTTGTCATCTAAAATGTTCGGAGTAAATAATTTCAAATGCCTTGTATATCAATTTGTACATTCATTATCATATCATAGGCCGAGCAACACTGCCATCTCGTGCCATTATCATAATAAACAGCGTCTGAGAGCCCCTGTATATAGTGCGCCCAGCCAGCTTCTCCACGTTGTGTCTCTCCGTACGTAGTGGTAGAATTTACAAGAGTAGATAGATGAAGACCAAGTGCGCAAACGCACATTTTATTAATTATCTCTATTTATTAATTCTCTTCCGTGTCGCTTTTAGAACAAATCTACTGGTTGGGCGAACATGCGGGTTTCGTTTCTACTTGTGCCCGCATTTTAGGGATTGACTAGCCTTGGTCCGCGACTCTCCACTCTTCCTCTGCTGTTTCGTTTCCATCCAATGAAATAACATTTCAAATTTTGAACCAAATGCCCGCGAACGTCCTTACATCAAGTCTAAGAGGGTTCCTACAGGGCGTCGCGGACCATCGCTCCCTAAACTTTGTTAAGCGAATTTAACTTTAATCTATAATAAAATTTCATCCCTCAGTGTTAAAGTATATTATGGCAAATATTAAACTAAGCACAATAAGTATGTAACAACGGTTATGATGTATAGTTAGGGTAGTCACGATTTGAAAGATTTCATTATCAGAGGTTTTGATGTAAATAATTTTGTTGATTTCTTCCTAGTCTCTTCGTCAGGATCAAACTGCATTGAAACTTATTGTTTGGTTTGCTCTAAACGCATTGAATGTCTATTATTACTAAGCACATGGCGCGTATCATGAAAAATAACGCATCTAATATATAATTTAATGGCATTAAATCATCTCTTCCTCTTGATACGCATCGAAACCTCACCACTTAATGTCACCTAACATATCTCATCCAAACTTATATCAAATTGCTTTTTATATAATATTAATAAAATTTGGACTTGGAATAGGATGGATAAAATTGTTAGCAGTTACAATAATAAATGTTAATTGTTGAGTACAGACGTTGTACGAAATAATTTCGTCTGCAGTTGAGGTTTTAACGATGTAAGCAATCTATTAACCGGGACAACTACCACTTTAGTCGGAACCCTTCAAGTGCCATGTGTACTTCCGAAATTACCCCATGAGGGCTCTTATGCATCTGTTAATGGCTTGTTTACATTTTAAAATGTATAGAAAACTAGTCTAAGTAGTTCATGTTACATTCTTAAGTTGGTACTGATTTATTTATGTCACGCTGTTGTAAAAACATGTTAAGAACGATGTATGAAAGTGTGAAAAGAAAGTGATACAAAAACAACTACTGTCTTCTCTATTCACAAGAGCACTTCTCGACTAATTTAGACTGACGAGTTCAAGGTTCTTGACGTTTTAAATGCCATGCCAAAACAGCAAATCGCTAATTACACACTCAACGTAATGATGAAAACGCAAATTATGAGAAAATATTTATTTGATAAATAATACTTACATTAAAAAAAAACACAAAAAACAAAATAAATATGTATACTCTATATAGGTATACTATGAATTTGTATTTAAATATTTATTAAATTTGGGATTTTTCCTCAAATCATAAAATTGCAATTGAATTAAAAAAATATATATCATTTATCACAATGTTCACAAGAACGTAACAACAACTTACGAAATTGCATTAAAAGTGAATAATCCTCTCTGATATACTTCACATTTTCTAATCCCATACAAGTAGTAGGTATATACTACATTAAGTAACAGTTTTGTACATTTCTTATTGTTGGTCGTCTTAAATTATATATTTTTTTCATTGTCCACTTTCACAAAATTTATATAATCTCTGCTACAGCATTTGACAAGGAGTCTTAAAATGCGCATACAACACTGAATCAAACAACAAACATTCTGGTAAGTCTTACATCAATAATTATCCTTGTATTTACTGTCTAGCGTATTAAAGTGATCTTGTTATTTTGCTGACCTGTGCAATAACTTATGATAAATGTTATATTTTCCGTGATTTTTGTTTTGTAAATCCCAAAAAACAATTTACGGATTTCTATTTCTATTCTAAGGGCCAGTTTCATAATCGAATTAAAGGGGCTTGAAAGTTAATGTTGGTTTAGAATGTGCTGATTACTATGGACTTGTTGACAAAAATTTGACATTCTAAACCAACATTCATTTTAAAGTTCCTTTAATTCGATTATGGCTCTAAGGTCCAGTTTCATGATCGAATTAAAGAGCACATTCTAAACAACATTTAATTTAATGCTCCTTTAAATTTGATTACAACTAATGCGTCATTTTTGAGTTATATGTTATGACGAGTTTTATTGAGACGAATAAAAAAATGATTCCATTATACCTCTGTACAAGGATATCATATCATATTTATCACTATCTGAAATTATACTGAAAAAAAACAAGGTTTTTTGTTTGGCGCTAATTCACGTTGTATTAATTAGAAGTTAATTAAATATATCTAAAATAACGATAATGATACTAGACAAAAAGTAGAGCAAAAATTAATCGTTTACTTGTTTATAATTTCAAATTTTGCTGCAGTTCGTGCGTAAATATTTATTATATAGGTACGTACGTGAGTAGGTACACCTGAGTAAGTATTTTTATCTGCGCAAAAATTTTATCTTAAATTTTGTAATCTAAATGTTGCGACGTTAAACGCAAATGAATACAATAATATAGTTTTCACCTTAATATTTAAGTTTCCATTCAATATTTATTAGTTAACAAATTTCATATTACAAAATGGAAAAAAAAAACTATAAAATAAATATTGAGTACGAATAATTGACAAAAGATATTTGAAAACTTAAAAAAAGATTCGAGCTTATTTTTCTCTAACACTATAAAAATAATAGTGCTTGCTTGATACCCGAAAATAATAGCTTAAAACAGATATTATTTTGTTAAAAATAAAAAGCTAAACAAAATGTAAATATTCTTAAATAAGGGTATTAAATTATAGTTAGTTGCACGCATCAGTTGATTTGTTTTTAATGAAAATTAAATGTAATTTAACAACATCAACATCGCCCACTTCCTTTAACTGAACAAAAGCCTTAATACTTTAATAATTATTCGGAATTTAACATTAATAATTATTTAGTTTACTAACACTGATAAAATTGAGTAGCTATTGTTTTTTTATTAGTACTGGATTGAGCTCCCATTTTAATTTATTATTATCGGAGTAGTAAAAAACTATTTCCTTATGATTTTCTTATTCTTCATATTCTGTAAACGCACCTCTTGGATTATGTAGTAATGAGTCAGAAATTCGTGACGAATGATTCACGTCATTATAATTTCACATCAGAGTGAATAGTGAAAGCAAGAGTTCCTCCCATATACCTCTATTCCCATGTGGCATACCCACATTGCACAGATTTTGCACAATGGGAAAATTTTCAAACAGAAAACTATTTCGATAAGATTGGAAATTATCACCTACTGTAACTGCGGTTCTTTTATCATCACAAAGACGTCAAACCTCAACTATCGTTCCCCAGACGTTGCATTTCACAAAGTTTTGTCTTTACCTACATATTTTGAAGTTGTACCATCTGTTGTCATTTTTTATTATAACATATGGAGCTTTATGCTTACGTTTGACGCAGGACAGAGAAGAGAACAAACGAAGGCAGAAGAAAGCACTTAAATCCTTAATTAAAGTAATGGGTAGGGTTCAATTGAGGTCTGAAGGTGCTGCACGCCAGTCTTGCGGTTCAGTTCACAGAAACAAAAACGAGCTCTGCTTGAGTTCTTCTTAATATGAATGATTTTGCCTCACCTGAATGGTGGGTTAGTCATCCTGCGACTCTCCAACTCGTGTTACCTGTTATTATTGACTAACACGTGGTTGGCTTCTGGTGTCGCACAAACAGTACCACAGTGTTTGAAGTTTAACAGTGATAAGTAAATATGAATAATATTTATAATCCTAAGGAGATTTACAGCATTCGGGGCGATATGTGCTACGTAAGTATACTTTTTATTGTAATTTTTAATAAATGCATGCATGTTACAACAATGTGTATATAAAAGGATCTCTCTGATTCTACAAAATCTTCGATTATTCTGTTTGTATTCTGATTATCTCAATATTAAATATTGAAACTATACTAGTACCACATTACCTAAGTCAGTTTTTTTTGACTGTATATTATTTAAATGTTAATAAAATTAAAAGAAATTGTAGTACAAAAAAGTAAATAATCAAGATGCCCTGTTTTAAATCAAATTTTCCATTTTCGTATTAAGAGTTTTTTTTTAATTCTATTTTTTGCATAAACGTAAGATCACTTTTTATCAGCTGCATAAATATATGTAAATTAATATCGTATCTTAAGCTTATATCATATCTTAAGACTTAAAAAAAAACATTGATAAAATTGTAAAAAGGCATACAACTTGGTGTATAAACTAATATACTTATCCTAAAACTTTACATAGCAAAACCCTAGGAGTAGATTTTTTTTCTTAATATCCACATTTTTGTAATGAATTAATAGGATGCGGCATTTACAATAATCACTAATTTATCATTCAACCTTGAAAAGTATGAAAAATTTTAAGTGAATCACTTGCGTAACCTTCTAAAAATCCAAGTACTAGTAATTATAGACGTCGTTCTTCCTATTGACGAGACGAAAAATTAAAATAAAAATATCTACAAGAGTAAAAAATATATTTTTTATTTATTTTAATGGTGTAATGTTCAAATTTGGAAACAGCAATTTTTTTAATCCTTTAATTAAAAGAATTGCTGCTTTACAATTTACAAAAAAAGTCTTTCGAGGATATATTTTAATTTGCTTTCTTCGATAACTATTTAAATATCTAAAAATAAAAAAAAACAACAATACCTGGTAGATATGCATCAAGACAAACTGTGGGACATAAACCTTCGGTTTGAACTTATTGATGTTACGATTTTTTCTTGTTAACTCAAATTTTATGTTGTCTTAAGTTACCACCAAATGTCTAAATTTATATCAGCTGATATAAAACTGCACAAAAAATTTGACGGGTTCATTGCTCTACATCTAATTAAAACCCATGACTAAAACAGTTCATTAAACAGTGTTTTTTAATTGGTTCACGTAGCTTCACATACGGGGGTCATCGATATTAAAATTGATCTGTTTATAAAATTATTAATAAGCTGCCCTGCGTTTATTATTCTGTTCCTATTATCAAAACAAAAGGTTGAAAATACGCTGCAGAAGCTTGAGGTAGAGCTTTAATGTCATAAACACATGTTTTGTGTGTTTATAAACTCTTCGTTATGATGTGCAAACCATCCGCAATGCCTCCATAAAAAATCCCACCATCTGTATTCTAAACCGATTAAACACCGTTTCGACACAACTCATCAATTTCAAATTTTACGATTATTTCCAAACATTTCCTTGGAATAAAGTTTCTGTTTTCCCCGTGTCCTCTTTACGTATTTGGTCCATTTCCTTCCGGTGCAGTAAATGTTGATAATTAGTAGTGTTTATGACTCCATCTAATAACGACGTACACAGAATGAAAAATTCAGAGCCTAAAAGTTATTTTTGTTTTTTCCATTTTCAACCAGGGAATTGTCCACATTGTGTAAGTTTGATTTTTAACATGCAGTGTACTGCAACTGCGGTCCTTTTACTCTTCAACTGTGTTTAATTTTCATATCCTCACCCACTACACTAGACAAATTAATTAATTGACCCCTGAAATCTGGTGAGTTAGTTGGTTTAAAAACAATACACAAGCACATAGTTGGATGATAATTATTTAAATATTTTATAGTGTCAACTAAGTAAATAATTATTATGCTGTTTCTGTGTTAGTCATCGTATTTAAAGAGGATTTGCCAGGAACAATGGATACCAAAGTGGTTATTAAAGAGGTAAAATGACCCCCTTTTTGTAGTGAGTGTCTGTGCATCCAAATCACATTACCTACTACTGAAAACAGGTAGATCTTCTTTTCATAATTAAAAATTAAAGTACATAGTTAAGTGTAAAATAAAATACATAAAATAAAAGTCAATTATGAAAAAAATGGGGTTTTATGTGGTAACACATAAGTACGCAACTGATTTCTCCTTTATTTGTTTGAGATATTTATTAAAAAAACAGGTTTTTAACAAAATATAAGTTAAAGCAGTTTTGGTAAAAATTTTGAAATTGAAAGGTGGAGAAGCAATTTTTTAATTTGTCAGTCATTTGTCAATCATAATCCTGTCAAAGAAAATTTTGAAAGAATTCAAATCACCCGTCACTGGTTTACAATGTTTGCAAGACAGTTCATTCGATTCGCCAGTTACGACGCGACCCGAAAAAATCTAAAACTTTCAAAAGCCTCTAAGGTCATATGCCAAGGCTTCACGGGCAAGCAAGCAACATTTCATTGCGAACGTGCCCTCGAATACGGAACTCTCCTCGTCGGAGGTGTAACTCCCGGCAAAGGAAACAAGAAACATTTAGGACTTCCGGTCTTCAACACGGTTAAAGAAGCCCGAGACGCCTTAAAACCCGACGTTAGTATAATCTATGTCCCTCCATTTGCCGCTACTAAAGCCCTGCATGAAGCCCTAGAGGCGGAAATCCCCCTAATCGTGTGCATAACTGAAGGTATACCCCAACACGACATGGTCAAATTCCGCTACAGATTATCCCGTCAAGACAAATCCAGATTAGTCGGCCCAAACTGTCCCGGAATCATCGCCCCTGAGCAATGCAAAGTGGGAATAATGCCCGCAATGATCCACAAAAGGGGATGCATTGGGATTGTATCCAGATCTGGGACTTTAACCTACGAAGCTGTGAATCAAACGACCAAACATGGGCTAGGCCAGACCCTAGTTGTGGGGATTGGGGGCGACCCATACAACGGGACGAATTTCATCGACTGTCTTGACATTTTCCTCAAAGATCCCGAAACGAAAGGAATTATTTTAATTGGTGAAATTGGTGGAGTCGCCGAAGAAGAAGCTGCGGAATTTTTGATGAAGAATAATACCGGAGAAAAGAGAAAACCGGTGGTTAGTTACATTGCAGGGCTTTCGGCACCTCCAGGCCGGAGAATGGGACATGCCGGTGCCATTATTTCGGGGGGGAAAGGAGGAGCTCCCGAAAAAATGGAGGCTTTGAGAAAGGCAGGGGTTATTATTGCAAAGTCGCCGGCGTTGATGGGGGATCATCTGAAGACTGAAATGGTGAAAAGGAAATTGGTTTAAAAGTTTTAATCTAAAGTTACTTGTCATAAGAAATGTTTTAAGAAATGAGAAAATAAATAAAAAATCGATCAAAACCACAAATCAAAATCAAAAGGTTTTTGATTTTATTTGATAATAATAATGCAGTTGAATCCAAAAAAGCAGGCAACAAAAAACTTGCAAATGGTGATACTATGACAAATATTATTCTGAGATGATAGGTGACAACTTATTTGTCATTTTGTGAAGTGTTGAAATTAGTTACTTATTGATTAGATTAAACGAAATCTGAAATATGTATCAGTAAGTTACCACAATGTTAAACATGTGAGAATATCCGTAAAAGTATTATTTTTTTGATTCAAAATGTTATGCAAAAGTAGTATGCACAATACTTAAAATTATGTACAAGTACAAATACCAAACGATTGAACAGGTAAGTTTTTTTTTAATGATAATAATAACAATTTTATATTTTGTTTACCTAATATAAACCAAAAAGAAATTTTTGAAAAGAATCTTATTCATACCGTTATTCTATTTTTTCAAAAAAGGGTAAAATTATTGTATTTATTGAGATCGTTTAGTATTCCGGATTATTTACTTATAAGATGTTACAACAAAAGTAGAGTATGATAACACATGATAAAAAACGAGGTCAATGGCACATTCGTGAAATAAGTTTTATAACTTTTATAACTTTATAATTAATTAAACTTAACAATCTTCAATTTTTGTATAATTTTTGCACTTTGCAATTTATAATTTCCTGGATTTTTTTTAACTTATAGAATTGTTAACTAGATTACTGTACTACAATAAATCATGAATTTTTTTATTGGTTTTGCCCAAATGATAACAAGTGTGTCACTAAATAAAGTAATTTCCTAAAACAGGATGTGATGATTAAAAATAATCACAATATACGTGCAAAAGCAGTTTTCTTGTTGATCATTTTAATTTTTGATAGTTTGTTAAAAGATAGGGTTTTAAAAAATCTCAGCACTTTTTTTAGTTTAAACAAATTATTTTTTTTATTTGATTTATATACAGTATGTCTCCGGATTGGGTTTACAAGAGGAAAAAAAAATATCTTTGATTTTACGCCAAAACTGCAAAGGGAAAACATTTTTTGCTTTATCTGAAACGAGCAAATCTGTAATTAAAACTTCATTATTCTAACTCAGCAGAAAGAAAAGTTCATTTTTCTCTTGGTTTTGGACTTAAATTTTTTTTTTCTGTTTTTAAGTCCTATCACATTGACGTTTTTTTTATTTTGACAATGATGTCACTTTCACAAATGAGTTTACGCAAGTTAAATAACAAAAATGTTTGTGAAAAACATAATTTTAATAAATACGAACTCAAAGAAACAGCTTTAATATAATGACATATAGTTGTCAAATAAATAAAACCGCCAATGTGATAGGACTTAAAAAGCAGAGAATAATTATTCTAAGTCAAAAATCAAAAAAAAAAATTAACTTTTCTTTTCACTGAATCAGAATAATGAAGTTGTAAGTAAGTACAGATTTGCTTGTTTCATCTTCTTCTTGGATCTTCTTGGTATGGAAACGATGAACAACAAAGTGGTCATCCTCAGGTGAGAATAAAACTCGAAGTTTTATTCTCACCTGAGGATGACCACTTTGTGGTTGAAACGCGTTGTGCTATTAAAATAAAAGTTTGGTGTGACGGACTAATCGTGTTTTTGTTCATTGCTTGTTTCAGGTGAAGCAAAAAATGTTTTTCCTTGCAGTTTTGGCATAAAATCAAAGATAAAAAAAATCCTCTTGTAAATTCAATCCGGGGACATACTGTATATTTCTATTTCATTTTTAATCTCTTTAATAAATTGAATGTTCTCGTTATTTTTTTGTCTGTATTTTATTTGTTTGTTAATTATAATTACCCAGTTTACTTGCGTACTTACTCGTAAAACGATTGCGAAACAAATTTTTGAGGCGATCGCATTTCGCAAAGTGTTTATTTAATTAAAGCCGAGGATAATGATCTTCAACAAGATAATTTTATTATACATTATGTGGGTCATTGTGCCCCCTTAAGAAGCAACCGCTTCCTTCTTTCTTGCACGTTACCTTTTCCTGCATTACTGTTTACAGAACTCGTTTAAAATTCGTCCTTTATGCATTTACAGGATAATAAAATAATGATGGTTACAGCGCCCTCTGAAGGAACACTTGACGAAGTCATCACGAAAAACATAGCAGGACTCGACAGAAACATCAACTTACAGAAGCAAACACCATTACAAAGACTGCGCAAGCGTTTACGTAGACGGATTTTGCTTGATACGTTGATATTTGTAATAGGTAAGTCAATAATTCGTCGTCTTATCGAATTTTGCAAATAATATGTATATCTCACACCGAGTTTATCAAGTCATGATTACGCACTCCATTCCGCTTTACACTCATTGATAATTCACATTGACTTTTGCTTCAATATCACTGAAGAGTCAATTTATCTGACGTTGAACAATTAGGTACTGTTTATTGCAACAGTTGAAACAGGCTGGCCATCAGTTAGTCCCATCTTGCCAAAGCAATTTTTTTTAACATTTTCTACAAATATTTTCTCTGTAAATACGTTAATTGCAGTGGGCCCATTAAGCACTTGCAAAAATAAACAATCTTAATTAGTTTCCACCATTCCACCGTTATTCTAATCCCATCACGAATTTCAATTCGTGACGCACTTGAATAAATTAGACTTAATCCCTTCCTGCAAGCTTTTAACTAAATTCCTGCAGTTATTAAGTAACCCTAATGTCTTTAATAACAGGTAGCATACTATAATGCAAGAAATATTGTGCTAAACGGCTTACGTAAAGATTTTCAGAACAGTGTTACCTTCATTAAGATATATCAAATTAAATAAATTTAAATTCATAACGTGTCTAATAAAAATTGAAATGTAAAAAATTATCATTGGCATTAAAGTAAGTACGTGTTAACGACTATGTACATAAATAAATGGTAGCAAATTTCATAAATTACTTTGTTGACATTTTTATTATTATGGTTACGTTTTTGCTTTAATTTTTCGTCTCCTTGTACGTAATATAAATCATTGAAAAATACATCTTCGATGTTTTAGTAAGTTGGAAACTTCAAAAAGAGATATCGTCACTGTCACAAAGTCGATAAATTCGTTCTAAACACCTGCAACATAGTTATAAGATTTTTCTATTAAACTTCCTCCAACTTTCTCACCCATCTTATGCTGAAATTCTCAAATTAGAATAGTTTGAAACTTGTGTACTTAAATAGGAAAAAAAGCTCGATCCCAGAACGGTTTGATTTATTTTCTTAGATTATTTGGTCACCATTTTAATAAATTTGTAGTAACCCCTTCATAATTGTCTTTTCCTTTCGCCCAGGTCAATAAATGGTGGCCGCCATCTAAAATACGATGCGTAGTCGCTACAAACTTTTGTTCAGTAAGTTCTTGATGCCCGGTCTTGATTTCCTATACTGGCCTGAAAGAATTTTAAGTAATTTCAAAGTTTTGTTCCAGTTGCCTTGTTAGTATGTCTAGTCGAATTCGGCATCATCCCCAATACCAAACTTGGGTTCATTTGCAAGGATCCGAAGCTGTCGTACCCCTTTAAAGGAGATACAGTTTCTGTGACAACTTTATTGATAAGTGCTTATTTCGGACCCGTTCTTATCATAACGTTAGTGGAAGTACTAAAAGAACACTCGTTCAAGAAGGTGCGCCTTGGGACTGTGTGGAGTTACTACAGAGAATGCCTTATCGGCGCCACTTTTGTTCTTCTGATAACCGAAGTAATTAAAGTCATCGTGGGAGAGCCCAGACCGCATTTCTTGGATTCGTGTGAACCCGATGTTAAGTGTAAAGAAGGCGCTTTCATAATCGACTACAACTGCACCAACACCCGTTTAAGCAACTTTTTCCTGAGTGACATCACGAGATCTTTTCCTTCAGGACACACTTCTGTCTCCTTATTCATCGCTCTCTATTGCTCGGTAAAAGAAATTTTGACGTAATTAAGAGTTGTGTAAAATATTTTTTTTAGTATCTCATCCAAATTCGCATTCCTTCGAAATCCGTAAGCACTTTGACCAAACCATTCTTGATCGCTGTTTGTCTCACGTGGAGTCTTTTATGTTCCTTGTCGAGGATAACTGATCGACGACATCATTGGTGGGATGTTTTGGGAGGAGCGTTTCTGGGACTATGTGGTGCACTTTATACGTTGAGTCTGCTTCATAGTAAAGAAACCATAGACAAAAATAGGCTCAGCAGAACGAGTACAACAATGACCACATTGTCAGACAAGAGTAAAGACACTCCAAGTGTTGTTATATAATCTAGGAAGTTTTTATACGTTTTCATTATTTGATTACAGTTATTTGTTGTAAATATTAGGACATTTAAAAATAAAATAGCTACTCGTGTATTCACTTGGGTTTTTATTGTGCCTAGACAATCTTATTTTTTGGCTTATAGAATAACTGACGAAGTTATTATATTCTATTTTAAACATATATAAAAGCTCTTCTTCAAAACTAAATACTCGTAATTTAGTGAAAAAGTGAAAAACTCATTACTCAATAACAGAAAGTATTTCAAGTTGGACCCGTTTATGCCACAATTTATCTAATCTAAATGAACAATTGAGTACAAAACTAGATAGCTAATTACATAATCAAACACGGGTTGAATCTTTTACAGGTAAGTAATATGATGACACATAATTATTTTTAATGACACGCAAATAGTATTATTTACTCATACACCGAAAGTACTTTATATGACCAGGTAAGAAAATTTTTGCTGAACTATTTTTTTACACTAAAAACAATATCGCAAAATAATACAAAATCTTATCACACGTGGTTCAGATTATTTTCTAGTGTGTTTAAAACATTTCTCATTTGTACTCTCAAAGTCTACATAATGCATCCTTTCTACAAAATTCTAATTCGTAAGTGAAGTTTCTTTTCATGATTCAAGTTAATCAAATTTTGTTTTAGTTGCTTTAGTAGTATATTTAGCAGAACTAAATATACTTCCACAAACGGACCCTAGTTTTAAATGCAAAGATCCAAAAATTTCGAAAAAGTTCACCGGCGATACTGTTACTGCCACGAATCTGCTCATCGTGACTTACTTTGGACCATTAATACTCATCCCATTGATAGAAGTTTTAAGAGAAAATTCCTTCAAGAAAATCAATTTGGGAGCTGTGAAAACTTTATATAAAAATTACTTCGTTGGAAGTGTTTTTGTTATTTTGATAACAGAGCTTCTGAAACGCATTGTAAATGAGGCTCGACCACATTTTCTACACACGTGCAAACCTGATACGAACGAGTTTTGCCAACCTGGGACTCTCATTTCTGACTACATCTGCACCAACTTGCAACTTAGTAGTTCGAGTGTCAAGGATCTGATGAGATCATTTCCTTCAGGACATACTTCGCTGTCCACCTTTGGAGGTTTTTACTGTGCTGTGAGTGTCGTCAGAAACACTAAAAAGTCGTAAGTGAAATTGAAATGTTTTAGTATATTGCCCACACAAGGCTTTCCAAAATTCGTGGAAGTTTAACACGACTATTTCTTATTGCCGTATGTGTTAGTTGGAGTGTTGGATGTTCGTTGTCAAGGATAGTAGACAAGAAACATCATTGGTGGGATGTTTTAGCAGGAGCCATTCTTGGAACGTGCAGCGTCTTTTACACTTTACGCCTCTTGAATAGAAATAAATTTTTGGACAGTGTGGCACCTAGCCTGAAGGACTCAAGAAGTAAACCACTCAAAGAAGACTAAAACAGTCCAACTAGAAGTTATTTAAATAATTTATGTTTATTTAAAGTTTTTGTAGTAAATGAAATTAGTAAATAAATATTTTAAATTTTGAAACGAATTTTATTTCATTTCATTTAGGTACCTACAAACAGTTGTGTTCTGTTTAGTTAGGTAAAAATAAAATTTACAAACTAAATTCATAATGATGATTTTGCTTTACATAATTTATGTTCACTAAATAAAATATTTTCTTATCTACAAACAATACACTTGAGATTGAACGTTGGAACTGATTAGGGATCACAAATCATCAGATTCCACACACAGACAGATGATTTCGGTATGTACATGTATGTACATGATTGCTCGCTCGTAGTCGCTGTTCTATTTATTTTGCCACTCCGGGTACCGGAAATTGCCTAAAATTTTCCACAAAAATCGATAAAATTGAAAACTTCAAAATTGAACCATTTGCTCTTTTGGGGGTTCAAGAGACGTAGAAAAATACAAAAACCTTGTAAAAATGCAAGAAATAAATTTTTAATTTTTTTTGTGTAAGTCTGTATGAATATATTGAATTAAAACATTGTGACTGTTGACTGTGTGGTGGTGTAGCGGCATAAGGTCCCGCTTTCCAGCAAGTAACTAATTAATATAAAAATAGATATTTTTGAAAGATTTAAAAATCCAATTTAAAAATCTAGCAATTCAATAATTGCTCCAATCTGATTCAATTTAAATATTTAATCAAATTTTCGAATTCAATAAACCAAACTTATCACTGGTAAGCATTGCGAATTTCATTCACAATTTTTCGTGCATCTCCTCTTTCGCTTGCCCACGCTTATTACATTCATAAACCCACGAGATCACTATCTTAGAATTATCATGCAAGCGTTGTGAAATAAGCCTTACAAAAATTATGTTGGATGATTAAGCTCAAGCACGAATATTTAGACCAAGCTTTATATTTTAATTACCTACTGATTAAGTTGTGAACAAAAACGATAAATTACTTCATTAACGACAAATTTATTTGTAGGCAATTAACTCAATACATTTAAGAAAAGTTATTTTTTCTCCGGGACCAGGTTCTATTAAATTATCTGCTTGCGACGTGATCTGAAAATATTTCATTTTATCAACTTTGAAAAAGTTTTCCTTGCTAAAAAACTACAAAATATGAAACTTTTCCAATAATTAATTTTAAACTTTGTTACGAATAATTACAAAATATTTTCGAAGACTTTCTGACTTTGCTAAATGAATACGAAAAAATACATATTTACTTTACATCCATTTTTAATTTTTAATTAAAATTTAAGTACACAGCTTCTGAATTTTTAGACACCCAAAGTCGGTAAATGTCAATGTTTACCAAGCTCATTAATTTAAAAATTATGTGGTAATCTCATTGGTTTTCGTTCAAGCAAAGCATTAATTCAATTATCTCGTAAACACTTGTTCATTTAGTTTGTAAAGGATCATAATAAACTTAATTTAGTTGTGTGAAACCCCGAATAATTCAGAGAATTTTGTTTGGAATTGTAAACATTCACTCTCAGTTTTTATTTGGGTGTAAAAATATGCTCAGTACAATTTTGCACCCCAGTAAATATTTGAAGTTTACGACTTACGAGCATACTTTCCCTCTCGTATCTCGAAATAGTTGATCGAATTTATACGAACTTGGATGGTCGCAAGCCGTCATAAACTTTTTCAGCCCAGTAAATGCATCATTTTTGTTTTTACAGCCTTGGCGAAACGAATTCCGCGTCTCTTCCTACTTCCCATGTTTGGAAAGTAAAATTTTAATTACAGTCCGTGGTAGCGCATGATGAAAAAGTCCGCCCCTTGTGGAAATTAGAAATTCCTTCGGCACTCCGGCACATAATCCTCGCAAATAGATAACAAAGGACGTGACTACATACAAATTTGATGTAGTTGATACGCAAAAGCAACACAATAATGAATTTGTTGGCGCGGTCCGGACCGCATAGGGGTGGTGGGTCGATATGTAGCGGCCCCCCGCGCTGGGGGCGGCCGCGCACAACGCCGTCGCCGCCTCCGCTCCAAAAGCTCGTCTTCGCAGTGCTGTGAAAATTTCCAAATCGCTGACATGGTCAGACGCTTCCTGCTGCAGTCGGCGAACTTCGCAAAAGCTTCAATGAAGTAGAGCCTCAAGCTACCGATGTTGCGCCATGTAGCGCCAAGCACGTGCTGCGATGACCCGAGAGCTTTACACCCACACGGTAAGCTTTTCCTGCGATACGATGCAAAAGTTTACGGCCTGGAAATGGTACTTCATCCGATGCAATTTTTTGCGCGGAGAAAGCTCGAGATGAATCGCTGCCCAATTCAAAACAAACCGCTCGAAAAATTGCTTTCACTTTCCAAGAGATTATTGCATCCAAGTACCCACTCACTTTAGAAATTTATCATACTACTTTTTTCCTATATTTGTGAAGGGATTTATATCGCCAGGATAAATATATAAAAGAAAAAGCAATTTATACTCGTATATCTTCTGTATTAAATATCTAAAAAAACATTTTCAGAAATAATAAAATTTCAGTGAAAAGCACTCAATTTTGTATAATAAACCCACAATATTTCCTGATCGAACTGAGTCATCAGAATGTTGCCATAGAATTGTCAAGCGGTTCTCTCAGTTAATACCAAATTAATGAATTTCTGTCACTCTGGTGAATTCACAGATATGATCTGTTAATTCGGTTGTGCTTTATCTTTTAAACCTAATTGATATTTAAACCAAAAATAAATTTATAGGTAGATGGACATTTGAAATTTTATTCAATATTATTATATTAAATTATTAAAGTTATTGAATAATTATTTTTAATATTCTTAAGTTCTATTTGGTACCAATTTTTTAAATGTGACTTATTTAATAATAATTATATTCTTGGATTTATATTAAAAAATATATTGTTTTCCTTAAAGGAAAAAATACAAATACTTACGTGACATTTTTTTATTTTATCTTACTTTTAAGAAGTTACTCAAAAATGAATTGCTTTCGGTTAAAACAAAAGCAAAAAATAAATTATAACTAACTATATTAATCAATTATTATTTTTCATTAATTAAAAATTATTGTTAGATGTTTTGTTTTAACATGTATGTCCATAAAGCTAAACGACAAAGATATTTTCTTTTTATTTATAAATTAGAACACAGCAATTTTATGATTATTTTATACTAAAATTTCAAGTTTTCATATTAAAAATTTTCCTTGTTTTACCCTTTTTAGTAATGGTTTATATTTGTGTTCCATGTCATAATATAGGTAATTAATAAAGTTTATTTTTCAACAGGTGTAACAAGCATTGATAACAACTAATTACATACTATAGTTGTATTGGAAGAATTAATCTTTAAAGTAGGCGAGCTTTTTAATGAAATATTTTAAACTACCCTGCAATTCCTAAAAAGGTCAAATCAATAATTTGAAGGTCATTTAATAGCCAAAGTTTTGGCGAAATGCGGACCGGCAGGGTCAATGATATAAAGTTTTATGGTTAAAAATAACGCTACCCCAAAAGATTGTGGATAGGAGCATTTTTTCTCTAATAAAATGGTATTTTCCCAACAACTTTAAAAATGTTATACATTATTTACGAAACTTCAACGCTTGATCTTAATTTTAAAATAAAAAACGGCAGAATTAATTTTAAAATTCAGAAATAATACGAGTATATTGACAGTTCAGTTTTCAACAATTTTCGTTATTAACGAGTTTTGATCTTGGAATAAATAGTGTACTCTGTAAATGTAAAATATTCGTTATAGTGACATCACAAATAAGTTAATTATTAATAAGCAACAATACCAGTAGACAAAAAACCTTTTTCTTACATACGTTTCTTTTGAATAAAACATTTCCTAATTTTGTACAGAATTCTACAAATCATCCACAAAATCCGACACTTGTCCTGAATACATTCATGTTTTCTGGTATTCAGTTGTAACATTTATGATTACGACCTTTTTATGCTTGATGATCCATCAAATTTAAATGGTATAATAAAAGACGTATTTCGCATGTTTATTGTTAAAATATTTTTCAGATCGCGGGACCTGGGGGTCGCCTTCTCGTGACCGGTAAGCCCGAATATTTCAACCAAGTCCTGGCGTCCCTCGCCGTCTCTCTCGGCACTCTCACTGCCGGCCTCGGTAAAGGCTACAGCTCCCCCGCAATTGCTTCTTTGCAAGAACGCGACGCCGACGCTTTCCCGGTCTCTCGGCAGGAAGCCAGCTGGCTGGCCAGTCTCTCAATCTTAGGCGCCTTTTTCGGCGCCCTCCTCGGCTGCGCTGCCGTCCGCTGGGGCCGCCGCCGCACCCTCATTCTCACCAGTATCCCCCTGTCCGTCTCCTGGATCATAATCGCGTTCGCCGTCAGCGTAGAGGTGATGTGTTTCGCGGCCTTCGTCAGCGGCTTCCTCATCGCTATCGTCCAACTCGCAGCTCAAGTATACGTAAGCGAGATCGCCGCCCCCTCGATCAGGGGCGGACTAAGCGGCATGCTCAAAGTGGCAGGTCATGCTGGCGTCTTGGTGGCCTACGCCGCTGGGGCTTTCCTCGACTGGAGACAACTAGCGTGGCTGATTGCTTTGGCTCCGGCGATGATGTGTGTAGCCATGTGGAAGGTCCCGGAAAGTCCGGGGTTTCTGGTGCTCCGGGGACGTGATGACGAGGCCGAAAAGGCCTTGAGGTGGTTGAGGGGCGACAGCACTGATCTCAGGTTCGAGTTGGCTGTCTTGCAAGCACATGTCCTTACGAGGAGTGTGACGTCGAGTCATAGAGTCCTCCTCCGGACTTTGATGACTCCGGGCTTGATTGCTTGTGGTTTAATGTTTTTCCAGAGATTTTCCGGAGCTAATGCGTTCTACTTCTATGTCGTGACTGTTTTCAAGGAGACTTTCGGAGGCACGAACCCCCATAGTGCTGCAGTGGCCGTCGCAGTTGTCCAATTCCTATCATCTCTATTATCCGGGCTTTTGGTGGATAGTGTAGGGCGTTTGCCACTTCTCGTAGCATCCAGTGTCTTGATGTCTCTCGCTTTGGCATCGTTTGGGTCCTTTGCTTACTACGAAGATGCACACCACAAGAATGTTCCAAATTTAGACTGGATTCCTCTGCTTTGTGTGTTGGTATTTACCGTTGCCTTTTCCTTGGGGATCAGTCCGATTTCGTGGCTGCTTGTCACTGAATTGTTTTCGTTAGAACACCGCGGCTTAGGTACCGCTTTGGCAACTGCCTTCAGCCACTTTTGTTCGTTTGTTGGAGTCAAAACGTTCGTCGATTTTAAGGAGTTGCTAGGACTGCATGGGGCCTTTTGGTTGTATGCAGCGATTTCTGTTTGCGGTTTATGCTTTGTTGTGTGCTGCGTCCCGGAAACCAAAGGAAGGGATCTCACGGAGATTGACACGGCCAGGTGATTAAACGCCAATGGGGGAAAACGCAAAATTTCCATTAGCGTAGTGGAGAGGTATTGCTGATTTGTGTTATCAAAATCTTTTGTGATAACGAAATGTACAATCGTGATATTTTCCCCCAAAATCAGGTTTCTTTCAAATTTTTTCGACATATCGAGAAATTTGTAAAATTCAATTAAAGAAAACAATCTTTGGCGCCGAGCTTCACTATATCAAAAATTATATTATTACTTAATATAGTTTTAATCAATTGTGGTCCATTTTGACAATACCACCATATTTGACAATATTTATTAGACAATATTATAATGTTAGAGTGATTGAATTATACATAAATATCTTTAAAACATTTAGGTGCTATTTAGAAGCTTTAGAAAAGATAATCAATTAATGTTTCAACCTGATTAGATTCTAGATGATGCAATGTCCATTGTCATTCCCTTACAAATCCACTTGAATCCCGTTGCTTTAATTACAAAGATCAACAATAATTAAATAAATTAATGGCAAACACTAATTTACATCGCAGAAGCAAATGAGGAAGCCTTCAATAATGCTGTTTGTCGTTATAATCTGAACAGCTGGATTCACCGTGGTTTAATAACTTGGGCGCTGTTATGTAAAATGAAATCACCCATCCTCCGCCTCTTAAACGTGTTTTAAAAAATAATCAATGTCACTAAAGCTTCAATAGATGTATCAATGTCTAAATGTTCATTCGCCAAACAATTACATTTTACATAACTGTGTCCAAATAATATGCTCAATTTACATTAGCCCAATTCCTTGACAATATTTTACATTGAGTATTGTAGAAGTGTAAGAGTTTATCAGTAAAAATTTATTATCTACTCGTCGGAGTTGCAACGGATGAATTTTCCCATTGTAAACTAGAAAGAAAAAGCCGCTAACAACTCCGCAACTAGCCTTACAATGATGTTACATTTTAAATTATTATGTGTAGGCAGACACGTGGAAATTTCTGCTTTAAATTTCCACCGGTTTTATCGTACATTAAGTATGAATTGATGCATTAAGATCAAACAATGGGGAAATTACAACATAATATTTTTACTGGTGATTTATATACTAAAAATACCTCTATTATATTCTGCTCGTTAAAAAAATCTATTCATAGCTGGTCTATGACACTATTGTGATGTTCATACATGAACACAGTGTTTATTGTAAAACAACTTAGAATTTTTGTGAATGCTTCGACAATAATTTTTAAATGCTCTCTTTTTATAATAGTTTACTTTGTACTAGAACAATTTATTACGAAATAAATAAAAAGTAATGATACATTAAACCACTGCCTTTTCCTCAAAATTCGTATTGTGATGACTCGTATTCACATTTCACTCCAAATCCTTAAATTTTTCAAAACCTTTTTTCTTAAACAACAAATAAAAAGTGAACAGTTGTCAATATTTAAATCGTCGGTGACTTTTAAATGTAATAATTACAATGTAACACCTGTGAAATAGAGAAAAATTGACCAAATTATTGTCTCTAATTCGAAACCAAAACAAAGTTTGTATTATTTACATTTGAAAAGTTACCTCAAGATATTTTCACAACTTTCACAACGACCAAGTTTTACTTCCTCACTTCTATATAGTCATTTCTTGCATGATTGGATATTATTTCTAGAACAATTATGTCCTTATCTAATCTTGAACTATTTTTAATCCGTCTTGCTTTTACACTTAAGAGAAACAACAATTAAATTTTTGCAATTTCCTTCATAAAATTTAGAAAATCGATTGCTTTCAAAACGTTAAATCAAATCAACTTTATTATGACTCAAATTGCAACAAAAACCTAAAATTTTTACAAAATATAAAAAATAAAATTGTATGAAGTTTTGCAAGAAATAAGTTCAAAAACTGAAATGTATCTACAAATCTGCAAAGATTAAATAACAAAACTCGTTTTATGCTTCGTCATTTTGTACAACATACACAATCACAAAACTTTTATTTACACAAACTGATTACCCATGGAAAACCTTTGGTCTAACGATATGTTTTTATTTGTCCAGGTGTGGAAATACACATTTTACACATTACTGTGAATATATTTTTCAAATTGAAACCAATTTATTTATAAACTGTAGACAACGGTACACAATTGCAAAAATTCGATTACCTACATAAGTACCTACTATATTAAATCATTGCACCTTCATTTTTCAAGATTTTAATAAAAAACAAAAGTTTTTTTACCTTATTTCAAATTTTATAAATAAGAAAATGAAATTCTATGAAGTTTGGCATAATCTTGAATACTTGAAACAATTTGAAATCTTGAATAGACCTCCTTTTTCTTGCCAGTGGCACAGTCCACCTCCAGTTCTCACGTGACCGGAACGAACCAATCGCAAACCGCCAAATACTGTAGCTCTTGACAGCGATAAATATTATGTTAAAATCGTGTAGATAGCTAGAAAACAAAATTATTTCGAGTGCTAGTTTGTAAATAAATCTTTTGATCGTGTAATTAAACAACTGCCAAAGTGGAGCTAAATAAGGAAGACATGGAAACATTACCAATCACATTGATAGTGAAAGCGCCTAATCAACAAATTGAAGATCAAACAATCAAATGCGAGCTGTCATGGACTATAAATAAATTAAAACAGCACCTGTCTGAAGTCTATCCCAGTAAACCGGTGAGTATTTTGTTGCGAAGCCTTGACCGATTCTGAGTAACCCCCATTTCAGCCCAAACACGAGCAAAAATTGATCTATTCAGGCCAACTCTTAAACGACTCAGTCACACTTAAAGATGTCTTGCGACAATACGACGGCCAGGAAACCCATACCGTGCATCTAGTGTGTACCCCAAAACACACGAAAACGCCAAGACAGGAGACGAGACAGCCCCCACAACCCGCAATGACGACTCCTCAGCCCCAAGTCACTCCAAGTAACACCGCTACAGAACAGAATGTTCCTAACATGCCATGGGCCAATAACCCTACCATGGACCCCAATCAGTACGCAATGCAAATGGCATGGATGCAACAAACATATCTCCAATACATGACTCAATATATGCAATTGTAAGTAAACATTTCCATGACCTTGGTGATAATACTTGGTGTACCTTTAAATTGCCTGACCTTTGCCACTCTAAACATCATCATTTACACAATAGAATTAATGGTCATTTCGTAAAATATATGTTTCTAGAATATCCTGTCATGTGATCAAGCGATAACTTATCACCAATTGACGAAATTTTTCTCTCTAGGGCTGCAAACTCTTACGGAACTGCCTCAGCTTCCACCGCACAACCCACCGTCGCGCCTGACCCACAGCCCCAACAGAATGCTCCAGAACAGGCGGCCCCCCAAGCCCCGGCTGCAGCGGTGCAAAGAGATCCCGAGAATCCCGAAAGGGATTGGTTGGATGTCTTTTACATGTTGAGCAGAGTGCTGGTCCTTTTTAGTGTGGTGTACTTTTACTCAAGTCCTTTGCGTTTCGTGTTTGTTCTCTTACTGGGATTCACTCTTTACTTGTACCAAATCGGGTTCTTCAGAAATATTAACAATAACAACAATAATAACAACAATGTAGCACCCCCGGAACCTGTGCCACAAGAAGAACAACAACCGTCCCGGTTGATGGTTGTTTGGACATTTTTTGCAACGTTCTTTGCCTCTTTGATTCCAGAAATTCCAAATGCTGTTTAATTTGGGAATTGCGTTCTTTTCAAATCTAAGCAATTTTAGACAAGGTTTCCAAATTTAAAGTGATTTTAGTTTGAGCAGATCTGTGCTGATATTTAAATGTAAACACAATACCAAATTATTAAAATGTTTATATTACGTGTATAGCTTTTAATGTAAATATTTCATATTATAGCTTTAGAAAGAATTGTGATTTATACGATAAGTATCTAAATATATTTTTATTTATAAAAGAATTTGTTGTAACTTAACCAAAATTCCAATAAAGGTTTTTTTTAATTAACTCCTAACTACTAGTCGTTACCTTAGGCATTTTCAGTCTCACTTAATTCTTGATTATTATGAAACAACTCGTCAGTTGTGCTCTGTGAAACTTCTTGGCTTTGAGAAAAATTTTCGTTTGGCTCTAAATCAATAGTTTTGCTGTTGCTGATTTGAGATGAAATATTTTCCTCCTCATCTTTAGATAAATTATTTTGTTTTGGCATTGACTGTGAGTTTTCAGAAAGCTCAATTTCTTCATTTCCACCTTGATTTGAAAGCTTATCTTCAAACTGCCTTATCTCTTGATCACTAGGGAAATCTTCTTCACTTGGCATTGGTAGAGTAACTTCAGACCGTCCCATTTCTTCCATTTCTTGGTCATCAGGAAATTCATCTTGACTTGCCAATGTTAAAGACCCACTGGCTGGGTTTTGCGATTCATTTGTTCTTTGTATCATCCTTTCCTTCCTTATTCTTTCCGCTCTTTCTTTATTTATTCTGATGATTTCCAACTGTTCTTCAGTTAATTCAGGTTCTTCAGGTTGTGTAACTTCTAAAGAAGCAGGAAAAGCATCAAACTGATTTTCCTCTGGTGGTTCGGGCTCAGAATCATTGTCATTGTTTATAATTGGAGAATCTTCACACAGCAAATCGTACCTGATTCTTTTAATGTGAGTCTAAAATCAAACACAAGATGTTTAATAAGCCCTGATAAAGATAAGTGTACATACAACAACAGCTTTCTTGGACCCAAGCTGCTCAATTTTGGCAATACATTCGCTAAAGGGGTATTTGGGAAACAAACGGTGGCACCAGTACTCGTAAGTTTTTAAAATTACACCCAAGTCCTGTTCTTCATAACCTTTCCCTTTGTATTTTACTCGGTCAAAATGTGATTCTAAAGCGGACAGACCTCGTGGTCCCTTCAGTCGTTCCGCATTTAGTTTAGGTTGAGGATTTCGTATAACTCTTCTGGCTTTCACTGGTTTACTAGCAGTAGCAGATTCTGCTTCATTCTCATTATTTTCACCTGGAGCTTCTTCCGCCTGTTCTTCTATATTGCCTTCATCTGCATTTTCTTCAAAGCGCTCTAAAGCAACTTCTTCGATTATTTCTAAATCTGAATCTTCGGAAGAACTCATTTTTGCAAAACGAATGAAATCGAAAGTTTTTTCGCGCCTTTTTTTGACAGCTTTCTGACATATGTAGGTTAGGTATGAGAAAAAAACAAAATTTTAATTGATTTATTCAAAGTTATCACTACTACACTCCGTGTTTGGTGCAATAAACTTTTTCAAACCCTCATCAGATTGGTTCAATCTTGATAGAAATGACTGCAGGAGATTTTTGTTTAACTTATCCGTTAGGTCGATTTCTCGAACTTGAGGATTTTCGGGTTGTGGTATCTCCCGTACCTCTTCGTTCTGTTTCTTTGGTTCTTCGTAATTCTTGCTTGGCATGTTTGAATTAACTATAATTAAACGTTTAAAAAATAACAAAAATCAACCAATGATCAATTAATAACATGCGCTTGAATGTGAATTCAACCGAAAAATTGGTTCATGGAACAACACCCAAGCAATAGTTATTTTTATGATGAAATCGCAAAAAAACAGCTCATACTTTTGAAATTTTAATATCTAATCTTTGTAATAGTACATTATCAAAAAAAAATTGTCCTAATAAATTATGATTCCTTCATAAAAAACATTCCACACTTAAATTAATTTTTGCATAATTGCAGAATTAAGCAAATTTCCTTCTGCTAAAGTCTGAGAATCCTCCAAAATTCGGGATGGATACCCTGACAGTAGATTGAAATTTCTTGTTTGATACTGAGGTCTAGCTGTTAAAATGTATTGACGCACGTCTCCTACAGTGTGAGTATGATTAAATTGCGCAACAAGTCTTGAACCATCAGTTAAGCGAATTTGGATACTGCAAGAAAAAACACAATAACATACAAAATAAATACAGAAACACATACTTAGTCGTTGGCTGGGAAGAATCTAGTTTTAAAGCTTCTTTAGCACGTGCTTCATTGGCGGGTTTGTCCTCTTCTCTTTGCGCTCCTACTACAGGGGGCGCAGGGCTACCTAAAGTGTAGCCTTGTCCTGTAAACGGTTTAATGCCCTTATCCACTTGTTTGAAAGTTTCCATTCGATGATCCTCCATTGCTAGATAAACCTAAACAAAAGTATAATCACACCAATTTTTAAATAATAATAATTGATTACTTCAGTATTGCCTTGTCGCAGTTCTTGTGGAATTTCGCCCCTCTGAATACTTTGCAAAAATTCAGTATTTGCAGGATCAGTGTAAGATCTCAATTCCCCCTCATTGACTGTAAACCCGTCTTTCCAGAGCTTTAAAGTAACTTCCGGTGAAGGAGCAGGTCCAGCAGCCCCTTCAACTTCCTCAGAGTCATCAACTGTCTGTCCTAACTTGTACCCCTTGCCCTTGAAAAGTTTTGAGCCCCCTGGTTTTTGATCAACTATTTCGACCCCATGTCTACAATTCTCTGTTATTTTCTGTACAGTGATAAAAACGATTCATACTTTTGCACAGATTTAAACATTCCTGAAACAATGTCTTTTTTCTTAGAAGGCCCTAAAACTTGTTGGCCGCTATGTTCAGATCCTCCTGCATAAAAAGCTTGACCTTCTTCTTCCTCCTCGTCACTTGAAGTTGTTAATGTGTTTAAAGTGGCGAAATTCGAATTTGTAGTTTTAGATTTCGGCCTGGGAGGTGCTGCTTGATGAGAGTGTTCTGTTTCGGAAGGCTGATCAGGTGTATTGTCTTCACCGACTTCGGCACCATCATTTTCATAATACCTGCTAATAGCGATCTGGAAAACTATGTAAATTCAACTATGTCTAGTAAATATTTATCATTACATCGAGTTTCCACGCTGACGATTCTAAGTAAAACTTTGCTCTGTCTTCATCAACACCTGTTATAGCAGTAAATTGAGAGATCAGTTCTGGATTATCACTCATGATTATTCAATTCAATCTATTTCCTTGGTCCAAATAAGCACTAAACCTACAAAATATTGACAATTGTTCAATAATTTCACAACTTCAAAAGTGATTTGTAAGAATCATCCTAACCTCAAAAGTGAACAAACTTTTACAAACAAATAAATTACATCATTCCAGACGAGAACCAAAAAGAAATTATACTCCATGCAATATTTTAAATAAACAAGAAGAAAAGAGTTCTTACTTACGCTGCAAATACAAATGTTCGGTATTTTTGTACAAAAAACATTCATTTATGACATTTCTAATTTGGGGTTTTTTGTTTTAGTTTTATAGATGCCGACTGTGCATCAGACCGAATTACTTTTTTTAGGTTTATTCAAAAAAAAAAATGGGAAAAATTTAAAACTGAGGACGAATTTCGATAATTAAAAAACAATGTTTATTTTTGAAACATATTTATTAATTAAATAAAAAATTTTAAACAATACGTAAAAACAACTATGTTAACTGCTAGAGCTGCAATAAAATGAAGTTAAAGCGATTGTAAAGTATTCATACCGATAAATGATTATTATTTACAATAAGGTTGAGATTCTTTCACTTGAAAATGCTAAGTATAATAAATCTTTCAACTAAAATTAAATACCAACATTATGATGCTATGCATAGAATATCTTAAAATAATGTTAAGCTTAATTTTGGACAATAAAAATGCAAGGCAAATGTTCTCAGTTGGTTTATTGGAAGAGAAAAAGGGACCAAGAACAACTTAAAATGAACATTTAATGTCATGGAATATACATTGAATTAGTAAAGCAACATACAATATAGTGACTGTCTGATATATCCGTGATTATTGTCACTAGAACGGACAGTATTTGGGCCCCTTCATTACAGTATAGCTTGCATGTTTGAAAACAATACATAAAATTTTTAAATACACAACAAATACTTTTTCAGTATAATATCCACAATTTTATTTATACTCAATGCGTCGTTAGCTTATATTTATATATATTTTATTTTAATATACATTATGGAATGTGAGGGCTAATTTAAAATAAATTTCTTCTGAACACATTTGAATTTAGTTTCATTGTTTTAATCCCAAAATTTTTATACCTCGAAAGCACTTTTTTATTGCAGTTTATCCACTTTTCAGTTACAATACGTTCACTAAATAAATAAAACAAATCAGTAAAAATAAGGTGATTAGAGTAATAAAAGTGACCACACACCAAGCATATGAGAATATTCGAATGACTTAAAAAATTAAAGAACCGTGATGTGACGACACGACTCACAGAAAAAAAACAACTTATATCCTAAATTATAAATATTTTATAATACACAAGAGGCCAGCTTCAGATTTCTCCTTGAATGCAAACACTAATACAGATCATGAAGCGAAGCTATTATAAATTCAAAAAAAATTCGGCAGTTTTTTAAAGCCATTACGTTGAAAGCTAGAAAAGTTTCATAAATCAACGCTCCATAAAAATACAAACCGAAACATTACAATCGTTTACTGGGGCGGCTGTGCCGTCTGTTGTTGAATTTCAATTTTTTCAACTGTCATGTCTGGATTCATAGCTGTGGCTTCTTGAATGGCTTCAGCTAGGGCTCTGTCATGGTCGATCGGGTCTCCATCCGATTGAATTGTAATTTTCTGCTCAACTCTTGTCTCCACCACACCGTCGCGTTCCGTTTTGTACTAAATACAATTTCTTTACATTGGATCGAAGCAAAAAATGGAAACTTACAGTGATTGTTTCAACAGTTCTGGTCTTAGAACTGATAGTCTGGGAGCTAACAATTTCACCAGTCGCACTGTAATTACCATCGTCAGAAGTCAAATGCACTTTTCTTGCTTCCGTTGCCACCACTGGTACTGAAGTCGTGCTTGTGTGATGTATAGTTGGGTCGCCGCTATAAACCACGCTTTCTGTTTGTACAATACCTCCCGGAACATCCTGAATTAGAAATATTCCGATAAAAAATGAGTCTTGTAGTACTCGGGTGTATGAGTGTAATTGAACAAAAGAAAAAGAAACAAAATGTGTATAGTGTTTTGTTTTGCATAATTGTAGCACCAGCAATGTGTGTTAAAAATGATATGGTCGAGTGATAAGCGATGTTTGATATTTCGACTCTACCATGCCTACATTTCAACACAAATCTAGCTACACATCAAAAATACCCTTACTTACTTTACATTTAAATCAAAATCGAGTCACATGACGTACCTTATAGATGTTACTGTTGTAATATGGATGATTTGGATCATCTGGTGGATCAATGGGTGTGCCTGAATCACCTGAACTAGTCGAGCTAACACTATCTCGTCTGCCCAGCTAAAAGCCATGCAAGGGTAAGAAAAAAGTGAAGAAAGCAAACACAAAAGTTAAGTTTCAAAACAAGAAAAATGATTTCCGTCGATATTCTCATGAAACACACTCAATGTGTTAAATACAAAAGAAAAATAAACGAAAAAAATTAAAATAATAACCTGATCTCCACTAACAACAGTACTGGTTGTTTTTACTTCCTGGGTAACAGTGCGTTGTTCTTGTCTTGTCGCACTCGACGTCATCGAATGGGCCACGGTTTTTTCTTCAAGTTGTTGAGTGCGTGCGTTAGTGCCTAGATCTTCGTGCGTTGTAGCGGTACGTGTCGTTACAGCACGGGCGGTAACAAAAGGTGATTTACCATCATCGATCGGTGCATCCGCCTTCGTACGTAAAATTAAACAAAATCATAATGAACAGAAATAAAAAAAAATAACTGAATCAACAAAACGCCATAAAAGAAAATTCTGAATAGAAAATGAGGTCTCCCAATGTATATTTCTTCAATAAAGGAACATTTAAAATGAGTACCAAAAATCATCCTTATTTCTTTATCTTTTAACACGTTACCGAAATTAATTTATGTTTCGATGTGAAATTTTGTCATTGTTCACATAATTAAAGACAAGACAAAGTAAGGATTTTTTTTATACAATTTAATAAATATTTTAATAAAAACTATGAGAATGTTTTGTTACGTCAAAACTATTATACTCGTACTATTTACAATACAAAGTTTGCACGTAATGATTTTAGCGAAACTAATTGTTTCTAGGTAAAAAATAAAACAAAACAGTATTTGCTCCCAATAATAACTTAAGCCCGTTTTGAAAATATTATTTAAAAAAAAATAAAAAAAGTACAACCAATCTACTTACACATGTATTATCGCAGTGATTAACCCTTCCCTATTAAATTTTGCTTTGTTTTTTTCACAACTAAGTAAGGTATATTTTAAGCAACAATTTATAATTTCTTTACTATAACTAGAAAATTTAGTAAATTTTTGTCCTAAAATTCAAAAAACTAAAAACATACATTAAAAAAGTGAAATTTCGGAAGTGATTATTAGAAAAACATCAGCCAGATGTGAATGAATATGAAATGAAAAAACAAACAAAAACCAAAAACACTGCAATTGCATGTAACTGTAATAAAACGAAACAATATTATTAATTGACTGGTTTTTGCAATGTACAGGGTGTTTCAATTGACCACAAAATAAATATCTTATTTAAAACACCCTGCAGAAAAAAATGTGAAAATCAAACAAGTAGAATAAAATAAATTTGAGTCAAGCTATTTCTTTTACCGATAATTAAAAAAATTATAATCACCTTATTAACGTGTGTCGAAACCGTGATTTCTCCCGTCCGTCCATCTTCCACCCTCTCTTCAATATTCTGCGTCACCCCATCTTTATCTTTCGTCACGATCTGTTTGGTCGTCGTCTTGACAATCACAGGAGTCGTCGGCGATTTAGCCGTTTTTATCGAAAGATTGGGGATATCTTTCAAATTTTCAGCCGCATATTCGTTCAAATCGTCATCACTCGAAGCATTGGAATCGTCATCTTTGTATGTCTTCACTTTAATTTTCGTGTCTTTCAAGTCAGGGAAGTGACTCAAGTCGATTTGGGCGTAATTCAAAATCAATTGGCCTGTAACAGGGTCCCGTCTCGCCGTCTTGGGATCGATATCTAGCGTGTCTGGATCGATATCGCCCCACTCGGTGTGAATTTTACCCGTCACGGGATCGATTTCACCAGAAAGTGTCAACACTTGCGATACTTTCGTGTTAGAGCTCTTGACCATGGGATCGTTGGGATTGACTTGGACAATTTTACCGGTCTTAGGGTCGAGCATTGTGTAAATGTACACAGTCTGGGTGGTCACATTGACGATTTTACCGGTTTTTTCGTCAAATTGGCAATCTTTCGGATCGATTTCCTTCACTTTACCAGTTGGATCAGACTCGTTGAGCATGTAGATACGAATTATTACCAATTTGCCTGTTTTCGGATCGATCTTGCCATATTTCGTGTAAATGTTTCCTGATTTTTGATCAATTTCAGACGCGGCATATAACGGAGCACCGCTATCGTCAATTTCTCCTGTTTTCGTGAAAACTTGATTCGTCTCAGGGTCAATTTTAGCATTGCTTGGGTCCACTTTAACAATCTTTGAAATAGCACCAGTCTTCGGGTCGATTGTACCATAAATCGTTATAATATATCCAGTAATAGGGTCAATATGACCGGTCGAATAAACATCCTGCTTACTAACATTATCATGATGGTCAAATACCCAAACTTGGTTGGTTTTGGGATCAATCTTGATATTTTCAACAGTTCTTGGAACAATTTCTCCGGATTTGTTCACTTGAGGGTCATTTATTAAAACACTCATTATTCTACCGAAGTAAGGGTCGACTTTTCCGGTTTTAGGATTAACGTAACCGCCCTTGAACAAAACTTGTCCGGTATGAGGATCAATTTGGCCCTGTTTGACCTCCTGACGACCTGTTTTAGGATCAATGTAGGTCAGAGTGCCATTAACAGGGTCCAGTTGGCCATATTTCGTATCAATTTTGTGAGTACTGGGATTGTAGAGAGCGTTGGAAATTTCAGGAGTGATATTTTTCGTATCGATTGTATTTTTCTTAGGGTCGACTTTGCCAACAAACGTGATGACATGTACTTCCGGCTCGACTTCCGATCCAATTTTAATCACCTGGCCGAGATCCGGATTCACGCTATCGGTTTTCGGATCTTTCACATTGCTTGTAATAATGATATTTCCTTCCGGATCAATTTGAATCGGTCTGGATTCGCTTTTACCGGTCTTGGGATCCACACTTGTGATTTTACCCGATTTCAAATCGATTGTTCCGTATTTAGTAACAATTTCACCGGTAGCGGAAATCTTTTTACCTTTCGAGTTCTCCATTTGACCATTATTTACATCGACAGCTCCGGTAACCGGATTTTTCTTCGCTGTGATCGTTGTTATCTCAACAACCGGATCATTCTGTCCAGCAATACTGATGATTTGACCTAGAGAATTATCAATTTTTCCTGTTTTCGGATCTGCAACACCACTACTAACGATCACTTGGCCGTTATTTTCGTTAACTTGGGCCGACTTGGCGTCGATTTTACCGGATTTGGGGTCGTTTACGATCAATTTACCGCTCTTAGGATCAATCAAACCGTATTTAGACTCAATCAGACCAGTTTCAGGATTTAATAAGGCAGTCGACTGTTCAATCTGGCCCTTCTCCGAATCAATTTTACCAGTTTTAGGATCAATCTTAGTCGTTATCACCGTGATCTTAATTGTTCTTTTTTTGGGTATTGGAGCTGCGTTAGGATCCTGAGCTTGTTTCAAACCGACTACTGAAAATACCTGGCCTATAGTATTGTCTGGTTTTCCGGTCGCAGGATCAATCACTGGGCCCCCATTCACTGTGATTTGACCCGTTGAAGGGTCTACTTTACCCGGAACTTTTTCAACGTTACCAGTCGCGGTATCACGTGTTATCAACGATCCGGATTTAGGGTCAATCTGTCCATATTTAGTTTCAATAAAACCAGTTGTAGGGTCCACGATTCCGGTTATTTGTTCCACTTGGCCATTTTCTGTATCAACAAAACCAGTTTTGGGATCTTTTTTCGATGTTATAACCATGATTTTGACGATACGTCGTTTGGGTACTAGAGCATCACCGGGTGGTGCTTTGGCCGGTATTACAGTACTCTGTACCGCACCAGGTTGTGTAAGTTTAGTTTCAACCGGTTTAGGTACAGTAGTTGCCACCCTCTGCAATTCCTTCTCAGAGGGCTGTTGTGACGTCACCGGATCTATCGCAGGTTCAGTAATATGGACGGAAATAGCCCGTCCCAGATCCTTGTCAACTTTACCATTTTTCGGATTAACGAAACCACCCTTAAATATCAGTTCACCAGTATTTGAATCAATATGTCCAGGCCTGGTGTCAGTTTTTCCAGATTTGGGATCAGTGACAATCAACGTGTCTTCAACCGGATCCAAGACACCATACTTAGTATAAATTTTGTTTTTATCTGGATCGTAAAGCCCCGGTGTTGTATCTGGAACAGCATTCTTCGAATCAATTGTATTCTTCTTCGAATCAACTTTTCCAACATATGTCGTAATTTGAATCTCTGGATCAACCTCATTTCCGACTTGCACAACCTGGACCAAATTCGGATCAACAGTTTTTGTTTTCGGATCAACTACACCACCCGAAATAATAATATTATCATCTTTATCAACAGTGACTGGTTTTTCGTGTACTTGGCCGGTCTTAGGGTCACGTGTTGTGATTCTCATTAACTTCAAATTGATTGTTCCTTGCTTGGTGACAATTTCACCAGTATCGGGAATAATTTTTCCATTCGTTGTTTCCATTCGTCCATTCGCCAGGTCAATAGAGCCAGTTTTGGGGTCTTTTCGTGCAGTTATGGTGGTAATAACAACAGCAGGATGTTGTGGATCGACAACATTAATGACTTGAGACAAATTCGGATCGACTTTGCCATTCTTATCAACGATATTGTCATTGATGTAAATCTGTCCAGTATTTTCATCGATTTTGATTGGTGTAACAACAGCTTTGCCCGATTTATCTTTCTGTACGATTTTCTCATTTTGTGGATCGATTTTGCCATATTTTGATTCGATAATTCCACTCACCGGATCAACAGTTGCTGTCAATTTCTCAACAGTGCCTTTCTCGGTATCAATTCTTCCAGTTTTCGGGTCTTTCTTACTGGTAATAACCAAAATTTTAATGACACGTTTCTTGGGGGTCGGATGCGTCTTAAGAGCATATTTGACTGCTTGTTTTGGTTCTTTAGTTTCTCCAGAACCGACAACTGTGATCACCTGCCCTAAATTATTATCCTTTTTGCCCGATTTCGGATCAAGTACTGGCCCGTTAATAATTTGAATTTGTCCTGAAACTGGATCAACTTGTCCTTGGACGGTTTCTTTTTTGGCTGTTGCAGGATCTGTAAACGTAATCGTGCCTTTTTTCGGATCAATTAAGCCATATTTCGAATCGATTTCACCAGATGGGTGTAGAATACCAGCCGATTGGTCTACATAACCATTCTCAACATCCAAATGACCAGTTTTCGGATCTCTTTTCGCCGTTATTACCAATAATTTAACCATTTTGTTCTTCTCTTTGGGTACAAATGGTGGCGGCCCCGGTAACTTGACTGGAGACACAGCGACTGGTTTTTTAACATCATCTAAAAATCTCGGTTGGTTGACAACAGCAGGATCAACTTTCTGTCCCTTGACGTCCACTTTAATCGTTCTGCCAAAATTGTTGTCAACTTTACCGGTCTTAGGATTAACCAATCCTTTAAAGAGGATTTCACCGGAATTGGGATCGCGCTGCCCTTGCTTGATTTCGGTTTTACCAGTCTTGGGATCGAAATAACTTAATGTTTCTTCAATAGGATCAAAAACGCCATATTTCGTGTACACTTTATTGGTATCAGGGTCATACAATCCCGTTGATTCTTCCGCCGGTGATAAGTTCTTCGGGTCGAGTCCTTTCTTATCGACTTTCCCAGAAACTGAAATAATTTTCACTTCTGGATCAGTTTCAGGGCCAACTTGAAGAATTTGACTGAGATTATCATCCTTAACTCCAGTTTTGGGATGTATTATCCCGCTCAAAATGATTATGTTGTCTTGAGCATCGAATTGAACTGGACGTTCCTCAATTTTTCCTGTCTTTGGATCACGTGTCAGGATTTTTTTATTTTTCACATCGATGGAACCGTATTTTGTAATGATCAAGTTATGTTTGTTGTCGATTTTACCATTAGTGGTTTCCTTATGTGCCTGAGTTGGGTCCAATTGACCGGTTTTGGGGTCCCGTTTTGCTGTTACAGCGGTAATCGGAACGATAGCGTCACCTTCTTCTGTAATGGTAATCACCTGTCCTAAACTGTTATCAATTTTTCCAGATTTCGAATCAACTACGCCATCTTTGACGAGGATTTGGCCCAAATTAGCGTCAATTTCAATAGAACGAACATCAGTTTTTCCAGATTTGGGGTCTTTATGGGCGATTTTCTGATTAACCGGATCTATGATTCCATATTTAGTGTCGATATGACCCGTCATAGGATCCAAGGTAGCATCCAGATTTTCTGTAGTTCCTTTTTCGACTTCAATTCTGCCAGTTTTCGGATCCTTCTTCGCAGTAACCACAGTAATTTTAACCACACGCTTTTTGGGAGCTATTGCCAGCGGACTTGTAATTGGGTGTTTCTGTTGGCCAGAAATTGCAATGATTTGACCCAAAGTCGAATCTCTTTTCCCCGACTTCGGATCAATGACTGATCCCGAAGTGATAATAATTTGCTTAGTGATAGGATCAATGTGACCTTGAACAACTTCCTTTTGCCCATTTTGCGGATCAGTGATAATAACAGTACCATTTCCAGGATCAAGTAATCCATATTTGGAATCAATCAGTCCAGTCTCAACATTTTGTTGAGCTTCAGTTACATCAACACTCGCATTTTCCAAGTCAATCCTTCCAGTTTTAGGATCCTTCTTTCCGGTAATAACGAACAACTTAACAACCCTCTTTTTAGCTCCTGGAACCGACGGAATGGGGGTCGCGGCTGCAGCCCCAGGTTTCGCAGTTTTCTCGAGTGGGGCCTCATGCATATATTGCTCCCCGGCCAAAAACGCGGCAGTATCTGCCTTGGGATCCTTAAACCCGGGACTGAGTTTTTTAAGTTTATCTTCTTCACCTGGTGCGTAATTGAAAGCCAATCCTGTTGCTCTTTTTGTCGAAGGTGATTGTTGGCTCTCCGGATCGCTCTTGGGGCTCGACGGAGAGTTCTGTTGTTCGTAGTTGAATCCAATAGGGGTGAAGGGTTTTTTCGGGGTACCTTGTTCGTCGTCGTAATCATATTCGCGAGTATAGCCTGGAAGTTGTGGAGAACCTAGAGGAGGACCGCCTTTCTCTGGCGTTTTCTCGGCAACAGCAACTTTTTCTTTCTTCTCTTTCGGGGTTTTGTCACGTTTAGAACCGAAAAGGAAACCGGGACTCTGATTTGGCAAAGCAAACATGCAAAAAATTAATCTGACATGCAACAAAGTTGCTAAAACTATCGTAAAAAGTTCTACACCACGAACGATTTCAATAATACACAAAGCTAAATTCTACTACGCATTTCGGAAACGACTAAAAAATTCTACTGTGACATACCTTTGATTTTTCTTTCTTTTCTTTTCCAGGTGTTTCGCCTTCACCACTGGAATTGAGATCAACATCAGTGCCATTCTGATCAGGTGCATTGATGTCTTTATTTTCTTTATCTTTCTCCTTATCGTCTTTTTCTTTTTTCTTGCCGAATAGACTACCAGTAGGTAAAACAGCGACGCCTCCGATAGGTTTCTAGTAAAATAAATCAAAAAGTAAAGAAAACAAACCGTTTTTGATATATGAAAAAAAGCAGCGAAATTCATATGAAGCAAAGACAAAAGCTACCATAACGAGAGTTCTTTTTGCTATACAGATAATAAAAAGCAAAACAAGACTGTATAGATTAGAATATTCTTCTACTCAGAGCTGTCATAAGACCCTTGCAGGAAATTATGCAATCATTCCAGCCTTCCTAACCTAAATCTCGTACCAAAGAACAAACCAACACACAGAACTCTCTAATTTTATAACAAAAACCAAAATTAAAATCACAAACCAATCAGAGTTCTGCTCCAATTTCATATTTACAACCACACACAAAAGCAACGAAAAATTAAAATATAAATAGAAATCTGTTTTATGTAAGCCTTCTTGAATGGTCGTAAATTTTCGATAAGTATATTACAATTCTACTAGCAATCAAATGATATAAATAGCACCAAGACAAGGCGTCAACAAACACTGCTGAAAAAATCATGAAAAATAAATTTTTAAAACACCTTCTGATTTTTCTCGGCTTCGTATTCTCCTTCCACGGAACTGCCAGAACTAATCGAAGCCGCCGATCCGGCACCACTGCCTTTCCGAGCAAGCTAATTGTTTTAACGCCAAAATAAAATCATTTTGCCAATTTATGAAGTTAAAAAACAAAAACAAAAACTAGAAACACACCTTTTCTTTTTTCTCCTTCTTCTCTTTCGGTGATTTTACTTTCGCCGGACTTTGATTGTCAATGTCGGGAATGTGTTCTGGAGGGTGTGACATTGTATGCCGTTTATTAGCCTCGTTATAGTCATCTTCAGGATGCGAACCTCCCAGAGCTATAAAATTCGATAAATAAATTTGAATTAAACAAAACAAATGACATACGGTCCATGCTACGGGAAGCTAAACGCTTGCCAGTTAAAGATCTTTCGAATTGTGGAGCAGGTCGGTCAATCGGAGTTTTCTTAGTTTCATAATGAGTTCGTCCGGAGTAACGGAATTTGGACCCGAGTTTTGGGAATAAAGAAGACTTTTGGTTGGTTTCAGGGGACATCAATCTTTAAATCAAGGCATCCAATTTATTTTTTGAAAATGAGACCAGTTTTACTCACCTAAAGAAAGTGTGATGTTCTACACAAGTCTTCCAAAGCTTCTTGGCAGCTCGATGGTTTGCTAACTTGAAACCGATCGTAGATTCGAATTGTTCGAATTCTCCTGGTCGGATTTTTATATAAAAATTGTGGCGTTTGTAGCTAATTTTAAGGATTTTGGGCCAAGCAAATCGATTGATTCTAAGTCTGTCTCTGTAAACTAGAAGACCAGAAGCACACACACCCAACATAATATCGACACCTTCCGAGTCTTTAGCTGGGTGCAAGTCAACGCCGTACATTGCCAATTTCTTAGCGTTTTCTAAGTAGTGCAATTCTGCTTCGGCTGGAGTTTGTCCCCTATTGAATAAAAACTGTTTCATTTGTTTGATTAATAAGTAGATGACTTACTTGTGGGTTCGGTGAAGCTCTATGACTTTATCTTCTAGATCCTGAGTATGGTTGGGGGCAAATTTAAAATCTTTTAAATAATTGCGTCCCATAGTATCAGGATCGTAATCGCCCAATTCAGACTGAACAAGGTACGAACCGAGCAAGGCATGAGTGACAAAAGAACAAGGCAAACGATTACTTAAAATATCGTTGCGGATTTGAAGACACAGCTGGTAGCGAGTGATGTCTTCTTGGAGTTGAGCGGGATCGGGAGGGTAGAATTTCACTTGGAAACTAAACTTCCAAGGCTCCGCTGCAAAACTCGATTAGTTTCATAACTCAAAAAAAAAAAAAAAATGAAAACCTACATTTTAAAAACTTCGAAATTCTCTTGTCGAGATCTAACCAGTTTCTAGGATCGTGTCTGTCTGCGTAGACAAGACCGAAATAATCCTTCTCAATTAGATTAATCGCTTCGCATACTTTATCGAGCAGGTCTTTCCCTTTGGCTTTCCGCTAGAATTGCAATAAATCAGTCTGATGCATTGGAGTTTTGATCGGTGATATTTACCTCAATGCTGACATCCAAAACGGTACCATCCAGCATTGTGACATGAGCCAAAGTGTTACCTGTGCTTCGACCCAAAGTCGAAGACTTGCTTTTGGCAGGAGATGAGTCGTTATCAACAGCCATTTTTTTCTCACCAGGCATGCTCGCCTTTTAGTCTGTGGGTAAAATAATTGAAGAAATTACATTAACGAAGAGACAGTTTTATGCAATCATAAACCCACACGCTAGTTTGCGTGTTTCGCAAAAATATCGCGCAGACGAACTGTCGCCTAGAGGTTTTTTGTACGATCTAGAAATTCAGATTTTCAAGTCGAAAACTTTTCCGACAGCCAAACAATGACTGAGATTCCCGGGATTATTACTTTTTTATTTAAAAGAACCCACATTTATTTACTTATCTTTTTGATTAAGAAAAAATTTCGTAGGAACAGTTTTCGTAAAAAATTTGTAGAAAGGGATGTAAACGACAATTATCAGTACAACCAAAAACTAAAACTTATCTTCTAGGAGTGGCTCCATGATTATGTTTCTTCCGTTTGTCAAACAGTGGAAAAATTTTTGTAACAAAAACACATTGAGAATTTTATATAAATATCTTAAAGTTATAATAAAAAGTCTCAGTGTAGTTCACAAAAGAAAAAAAAACATGAGTCAAAGTTTGTTTTATCAAATTAATTATTTGTTTCGTCATTCAGAATTTTATCACGGTATTTCAAAATTTCCAATACACCATATAAATGTGTTTAAATTAGATACATATCTGTAAATGCGTGACTCGTACGTATGCCGTATAAAATAACGTAAATCAAGATGCAGAAAATCAATGGGAAAAAATATCCACAAGAAGGTTCAATTACACATAATTTAATTGTATTTAATGCACGTGGATATGCATATGTGAACGTTTTACGAATTTTTATTACTCTACTATGCCTACGTATTTTATCACACATTCTTTCCTCATTATTACAAATGAATTCTGATTAAATTTATTTCAAAAGTATTATTTATGTTCACAAAAAATAATTAAACCAAATTAAAATCAATTATTTATTAATAAACAAAAACAACACTTATTTTGATTATCTGCAAAAAAAAAAAATCGGTCCTTCTATTACTTCAACATCTTATTTTCTATAATCCAAGTACATATTTTTCAATTGCTACTTTATTTTATTACTTTTATAAAATTCTCAGTTATTGAAAAAATCAATTTCATCGGAATTAGTTGTAGTAATCATAAATCAATGTCATGAAACAAACTTTCTAAAGCCTTGCTAAGAAGAGGTACTACGGAAACCATTAATATGCAATTATGCAGCTAGGTATACCAAAACCAACAAAGTTATAAATTTTATGCAAAAACTCAAAAAATGATATGATTGAGGTGATTATTTAATCAGTTTTTTAACAAACTCTGTAGTATAAAATATTATGTTTACAATTGAAAATATTCAGGAAAATGGTACCGAGGATAAATTTTGGTTTTCAACAAATTAAGATGTTTACCGCTCATCAAAACATGAGTCCAAACGAAACATCCTCTTTCTGACTTGCATAAGTATTTGATTATTATTCAATCATGTAAGAATAACGGAACTTGTTGGTGTCGGTATATCCTTTTTACCAAATTAAATATTATTCATTCATTACTCTACTTCTCGGCGCAACATGTTATTAATCACAAGAGAAGATATCATTAATCTTGTGTCACTTGCAATAACATGATTTAAATTAAAACTGTAACCCCATATTTATTTTAGTGTGAAATAAACCCGCCACATGTGTGAACCGAAGATAAGCAGAATAGATGAAAAATAACATTTGAGAAAGTTATAAAAAAGTAAGAAAATTAGATTGAATCGTGCGAGCAAACCATGCCAGATTGGTGATTTACGACTTGTTTGTTTAAGTAATTGAAATGAAGTTACCTCGTTTATAAGAAAATTGCTTCCACACATGAACATGAATTTTAGTTGTAAAAAATATACAAATGCTTTTATACAAAATATACAATGTGGTTTCCGCTATTTGTTCCCTTTTGATGGGAAATTAAATTGTTTAATAATTGACTGACTTGTTACACACATGTTCCTGCCTATGATATGCGATCCATGCAATAAATTCTTTTCATGATCCCCACAATTACTTCCATTGTCAACATTATACCTGTCTTGAGATCAAATTACGTCTAATGATATCCCATATGCACACAAATCAACTGCATCCATATAAGATAAATGAAACCAGAAACAATAGAATTGAGTCTTAGCAAATTTTTTGTTTATAATAATAATCAGTGGGTACCAAGCATACGCAATTTCATAAATTGCTTTCTAAAGTTTCTATTTATTATCTCATTATGAGAAAAAGTTTGTGAATGGATTTATTATTACATTTTTGTTGGCACATATGGTACAAGAAAAAAGTACATGTGGGTGGCATCACCAAAAAATGTGTAAGAAAACAATCTTATTACAGCACATATACGAATTTATTAACTCCAGTTTATTGATAACAAAATTTACATTGTATGCAAATTTGCATGTTTAATAACCTTGCAGGTGTTCTTTTTGTAGATTCGCAAACCTTAATACTAACTGCATTGTACTCGAAAAATTCACATATAAGTAATTTATTTAAAAAAAGACATGCATGAGTTCGTTCCCTTTATTTATGAACCATGAAATATCTTCATAAAATAATTACTTAGATTCTCATTATCATATCATTAATCCCTTGGTAGAACCACCCCTAGTTAAAAATACACTTTTATCAACACTCAATAAATAATGGGTGAGTCGTCACGGTCAATGACCATTAACTTGTTAAGCTACGTTCATATTAGAATCTACAGGTGAGTGTGATCGTTAAAACCTAAACACCTGTAGACTCTAATCTACCAAGCCCACAAAATCCGAAAACTGACTTTTTCGTCCGTTTTTTTAAAAAAAATGAGGTGTGTCATAATCTAATTACGTGAGACGAGAAAGTGACTAGACAGTAATTATGCAGAAAAGTGTATTTTTAGTAAATGAGTAATCTTTGGTGATGACCTTTTATAAATATTATGTCATGTGCAATCGTTAAAATAAAATTATTTTGTGATGGAATGCGACGCCACTTGTTAATATTTATTAATAGAAAGTTGATTTTGGATAAATTTGTCCTTTAGTGCACAATAAATATTAAAACAACTGTAGTAAACAACAATATAATGTGATTCCTAAATAGGAGCAATTCAGATAGAATTATTTATCATCTAATGACAAATTAATTAACATTTTAACATTCTTCAATCGCTAAATTGAAAATACGTGTAAGAGACATTCAAAAAGAATTACAACTATTATAACATCTTAAATGATGAGGTCATGGGGTCATTTTGCTATATATAACAGCTCCTAATGATTTGTAAGTGGTCACAATTCAGAAGATTTTTATTGGTTCACATTTTTTTATTTTTCAAAAATACAAGAAACTTCAATACAAGTTTATGTTCCAAAACTGAATTCATTTGAGAAATAAATCAATAAATACAATTTTATTTAATCAATATTTTTCAAATAAAAATATTTCTCCTTGGAAACTGGGAAATAAATGGATCTGATTTTATCAAAACGGAAATGTCACCATAGGCACGCTAAACACTATGAACAGGAAACGCTAGTTATGGGTGAATCACCCGGTATATATTCAAAAACTGCAATTACATCCTAACATTTTTTGGAAATATTCGTGGATGTGGATGCTTAGAGTGAAATTTAGATTTCTGTATCGATTTTCCTTTCAAGATTGAAGTGTTTTCATATTGAGAAACCTCAACAAGTCTTGAATATTTTGGGATTTTCGACGAACCGAGTATATTTTTGTATCAAACATAAGTTGATTTCAAAACATGTTCTATTTAAAAGAGTGCAAAAACCGGGTTGGCACTTATAAACAATATGTGCAAGTAAATTTATTTCGAAATTTTCAAAATCAAAATCAAAAAACCGACTCAAAAAATTTGGATCAAGAGTGCGTATTTTGACATACCATCATAACAAAACACAATAGCTTTTTAATGGGGCACTTATTGGGCCGAGTTGGACTTAAAGCGGATTGAATTTACGCAAAATCTCTTTTTTAGGGTTGAAGGAGACTTACTTTATCAGCAACAGATATTATCCATTAATTTTTTATAAAGAATTTTCTTATGGAAACGGCACACACATTCACAGCGAACTGGGATGGGCCACACCATAAACAACAAACGATCAACGATGCTGAATCGACTAAACTACTCTAACCTGCAAATGACACCTTGTTCTACATTTACATTTACACAGCGTGTGTCATTTTCAAGATAACAATGTTTATTTTACACATGAACTTGCACATTGGGGTCATGAAATGATTCATATGATACGAAAACTGATCTTATTGATTGATTATCGGTCGGTACTACTTTTCGCTTGGCCTTTAATCGGCGCAGGAATACAAAATGGCGGGCAAACATTTAAAACATTACGTCATTTTATATACATAGCAATGAGTGCCAGCGTCACGCCCCACAAATAATAAGATGCTCAGCCTTATTATTATTATTACGATTGTTGCATTTTTCTATTCTGACTAATAGCGCCGCGGTAAATTGGTGACAACGTGTTTGTGGTCACTGGTCGCAGTGTGTTCCGAACCGAAAACAAAAGAGCAACGCTGTTATTAATTTTTTGGCTAACTTTAATTCTTGATAAGCTTCACTATTCAGGGAATTATAATAGTATTTGTGTTAAAGCATAAATAAAAGACAAATATTCATTGCAGTTTTATTTAGTTCTTATAAAAAAAACATTTTAACAACTAGGCATCTGCAATAGTTACTTCAACCTCCACGCCAGGCTCGATGTTGATTGAGGTGATTTGCTTAACGATCTCCGAGGGGGAGTGCAAATCAATGACTCTCTTATGAATCCTCATCTGGAATCTGTCCCAAGTCTTGGAACCTTCACCACATGGTGTTTTCCTTGTTGTAATACGCAAGATCTTGGTAGGCATACGTACTGGCCCCTTGACGCGTAATTTTTGCTTTTTGGCAGCGTCAATCAAGTCCGAACAGACTTTTTCAAGCGAACGAACGTTTCTAGATGTTAGAGTAATCCTGATATGGTGGATTGGGGGCGCATCCTGGCCGGGTTTCTCGGGGTTAACCTCTTTGATAGCAGATGCCTTCAAAAAATGAAAGATGCGTTACTTTTTCATATTATTCCTACGCATTAAAGAAAAAATGATGCTTACCATTTTTTATTAATATTCTGGTCGAGATAATCAACTTATTACCAAAAGTTGACCAGCGCTGAACCAGAATTAACCTGGTACTCAGCCACGCGGTTTCAAAAGTGATCGAGGTTAGGGATTTTTCTTACCACGCGTGCTTAGGAAGTTGAAAGCACTGTTTATGGAGCGGTACTTTTAAAATTGTTTCTCAATAACAAAATCGCACAAGTTATAATAAAGGTTGTATTTTGGAAATTAATACAATTCAGATTCTATTGTTAATTACTAAGAGCTACTAGCATAGACATTTTGATAAGACAACAAAGCTTTCTAAAATTCTTGAAAAATAAAAACACTATTTGATTTAGTTATTGTACCTGTAGAAGCATAATGAAGAAATGATAAAGTACATTGTATTTAAGAAAATAGATTTTTACAATTATCTTTAGACTGTATTCAACGAAAAAAAAAATTGGTCATTTAAAATCTGCACTTTACAAAAAATATATTTCTATTTTTAACTATTTTATACAACCGTGACAATTTTGTAAAAAATTTTAAATGACCAACAAAACATACTTTTTGGCTTTAGTTTTACAACTCAAAAATCGCACTCGCGTAAAAGATCAAATAAAATCTATTAAAATAATGAAAACAATAGATAATTAACAAATTTTATTTACTTCTCTCCAACAAAAAATGTTTACCTATAATAAAAACTAGCATTAAGATCTCAAAGATAATCATAACTATCAAACACATAAATACTATATTTTAATGCATGTGGAATATACAATAATATAATCTTTAAAACAAATTCTGATCGAAACTCTCTTTATACCGTCAGAACTCATTTACAAACACTTTATCCCGGATACGTTAAAACTAACTTACTTAATAATTAGTTTGCCAAAAATATTATCTGATGAAATGCCAAGTGTAAAACATGAAAAGAACGAAATACAAACTTTGTACTCGGACATACACATTGAAGGTTGGTTTTATTATACAAACTTTAATTCTAAAACGCTTCAACAAGTTCACGTTGATATAAGCTGTAAAAATAAAATTACTTGGGTAAATAATTACAAAAAAAAACAACAAAACTTACAGATTTTACAGTAGACTTTATGAAATCCTTTTTGTGTGCGAGATCAAAGTCAGGATAGTGTGCATAAACTTGTTGACAAACTGTCTTCATTGTAATCTGTTCCAAGTTAGCGCCTTCTAAAATTTCTTTCACGTAGCTTTTTATCTCATCATCCTGGAATTAAATTGTCACAGATAAAGTATTTAAGTAATAAAATAAAAACATACAGTGGGAGGTTGAGCGCTCTTTGCTGCTTTTTTGACTAAAGGCTCATCTTCAGAAGAACTGCTTGCTTCCTTTTGCTCGCTCTCTTCTTCCTCTTCTTCTTCCTCTTCAGAACTTTCTTTGTTCTTTTTCTTTCCCGCTTTACCTGATTTTTTTGTGGCTGGTCTCCCCCGTTTTCCAGTACCTTTGCCTTTATTTTTATTGTTAGCCTTTGCAGTCTTCCTCCGTTTAGTCTTAGGCTCCTCCTGGAACTATGACAAAATATTATAATTTCACACTAAATTAATATTTTAAACAAAATACTTACGTCGCTATCTTCATCTGAACTAGCACTTTCCATATCGCTCTCTTCATCCTCAGAATCAACCTTTTTGCGATCAACACGTTTGCGTTTTTTAACGCTTGGTTTTTCATCGCTGCCTTCATCAGAGGGTTCAAAGTCTTCATCGCTGGCACTAGAACTATCATCCTTCAGATTAGATCTTCTACCTTTATCTCGTCCTGACCTTCCGCTATGCCTCTCATCACTCGAATAGTTATCATGAGATGAATATCCTCTGTTGTTTGCTCTTACAGCTGCAGTTCTTTTAGGTCTTCCTCCTCCAACGGGTTTACCAGAATCTTTAGGTTCTAATAGAAAATCAAGTATCCTCTCAATAATATCATCTTTAGTCCCTGTTTTCTGAAGGTCAAGCATTTCACAAATGCTTTTAAGTTGCTTTACATCGCATTTTGTCATAGATGCCACCTTTTTGGAATATTCCTCTGAATCTTTTTTAAACTCAAAGCCATTGAATTTTTTGATGTTCTTCTTAATCATTGTACTTTTTCCTTGCAATTTGAAGAGAATTTTGTGGAGAAGTCTCATATCCTCGTTTTTAAAACGGGAAATTGACGCGTCAATCCGCGGTATCGCACCCAGAGAAGTACCAGACCCATTGGGTATCTCAATCTTTACAGCCTTAAACGCAAGAAATAGGAAAACAATATTTTAATTTTTAGATACCTACTTCTTTTGTTTCTGATGGAAATTCCTCGTTAAAACGCTGTACATTTTTACGTTCCCTTTTCCCAGATTTTTCAAGAGGTTGGTCAAGTAATGGCACGTCTTTTTCATCCTCATCACCGTCCTCACTCTTTTCATCCTCCTGCTCGCTATTTTCCTCCTCATCCTTTGCTTTAGCTTTAGTTTTCTCTTCTTTTTTATCAGTAGGCTTCACATCGTTTTTAGCGTTTTCTACTTTTTCTGTTGCCGCTTTATCGGTTTCAGGCTTTTTATCGGACTCATCGGAAACGTCATTTAGGGCTTCCTTGGGCTTTGAGTCCTCCTCTTTCTTCTCAACGCTGTTTGCAGTTGCTGCGTCAGGCTTGGCGTCTTTTGCGTCTTGAGAAGAATCGGTATTTTCAGCCTCATTCTTCTCGTTAGACTATAACACAATTTAATTTTTTCATTATTTTCTCACACTAGCAACTTTATTTTTGTTGTAATTTTCGTTTTCCCGCTTTTTCAAATATCAACATACGCCATGTTGAAATTTCTTTCACTAACATGTTGTTTTTTATGCGATTTAGCAACGAAAGCAGTGCGATAAAATTGTGAATTTAACATCAATAGGGCCTTAGATTCTGATCTATTTTTTCAGAAATAAATAAATGAGAGTACTTACCTCTGAAGAGAGATTTTTAGAAGAATCACCTTCACTAGACATCTTAACTGTCATATACCGCGTCTAGAAATGTCCAATAAGAAGTCACACGCATTGCATAATCGACCAATGCAAATGTTGCGTATGGTCACTGTGTAAAGAGATTCAATAAATGCTTGTATTACTGAAATTTTTACAAAACTGCGACGCTACGGACACTTTTCTGCCGTTAAAATTAAGAGAAATTCCAATTTCACGTAATTAGAGGCACTCCAAGGTCGAATTTCTAGTATTTATTCACCATTTATGAAACTTTTCAACTAATTTTCAAACAAATCGTAGCAACTATCTTTTTTCATTTGTTTTGGATGTGGCTAAAGTATCGACACGACAAATTTGCCGAAAAACATTTTTTCCAACAAACATATTTGTATAATATCAGTGGTGAACTTAAACCTGATAAAAAATTCAATCCAAAATTTAAATTTAATAGATTTTGCAAATAAAATAACCCTCTCAGTATTTTTGGTCCTACCACCACGTCATACGACGCCAAAAGAGAAAGCAGTATAAAATTGCTTGCATTGAAAAGAGTTGGGTATATTTGATGTATTAAAAATACAGAAAAAAATTTGCAGGTTGTGGCTGTGCTGTCACACGTGAAATTATTTCTGAATTTCATCATTTTTTCAAATATTTTTTACAATAATATAGGTATTTATGATATTTATAACTTACCGACGTAGTTTATTTTTATACAAAGTCATTAACTTTTTGTTAAAATCAGTTTTTGTTAATGTAACCTAAAAATTCGTTTCCATATTTTTAGGTAAAAATGCCTCTCTCCTGTAGATTTTACAGGGAAAAATACCCTGAGGTCGAAGATGTGGTGATGGTAAACGTTCGAGCCATTGCAGAAATGGGGGCTTACGTCCATTTACTGGAGTATAAGAACATTGAAGGCATGATTTTGCTTTCTGAATTGTCGAGAAGACGTATTCGTTCAATAAATAAATTAATTAGAGTAGGAAAAACGGAACCTGTTGTTGTAATAAGAGTGGACAAGGACAAGGGTTACATTGACTTGTCAAAAAGGCGTGTTAGTGCTGAAGATGTAGAGAAGTGCACTGAACGATTTGCTAAAGCAAAAGCTGTCAATTCGATCCTCAGGCACGTCGCTGAATTGCTCAAATATGAGTCAGATGAGCAGTTGGAGGAGTTGTACCAAAAAACTGCTTGGTACTTTGAAGAGAAGTACAAGAAAAACAAAGCAAGTGCTTATGATTTCTTCAAGCAGGCAGTCGCGTAATTACCCCCTTTACATATTGTTTTTACAACGTAATTATTTCAAAACTTTTAGTGATCCCAGCATATTGGCAGAATGTGAGTTGGACGATAGAACCAAGGAAGTATTGTTGAGTAATATCAAGAGGAAATTGACTTCTCAGGCAGTTAAAATTCGCGCTGATATCGAATGTGCATGTTATGGCTATGAGGGAATTGACGCTGTTAAAACAGCCTTGAAGTCCGGTTTGTCGCTCTCAACCGAGGAATTACCGATTAAGATCAATCTTATTGCCCCTCCTCTTTATGGTAAAAAAACTCATTTTTAAATAATTGTTTTATTGTGTATTTTTAGTAATGACCACTTCCACGCCTGAAAAACAAGACGGTCTAAAAATACTAAACGATGCTATTGAGAAAATAAAAGCAACAATTTCTGAATTAGGTGGAGTTTTTAATGTTCAAATGGCCGTAAGTAATTTTATGAGTGTTTAGGAACGACTTTTTATGTAATTTTTAGCCTAAAGTTGTAACAGCTACTGATGAAGCTGAGTTACAAAGACAAATGGAAAGAGCTGAATTGGAAAACACTGAAGTTGCGGGCGACGACGATGATGAAGAAGATGGAGATGAGGGACAAGTTTATAATGAAAATGATAATGAATCTGAACCTGAAGAAAATTAAACAACTCACAAAAATTTTATGATTAAATACCATGTGTATTATAAGTTTTTATATTGAAGCTTGTGGTTTAATTCAATATTTTAAGCCAATAAAATATTGTAAAGGTGAAAATGTGTTTATTATGTAAAGAGAAAAATACAATTAACCCTCAAAAAATTTTGGTAGTTCGTCTCCCAAAACCACTCTGCGCTCAATTCCTTGCTCTGTAATAATTCCTAATCTTACCACACCACCAGAAGAACCATCGCGTGACATTGCAAGTGTCAAGGCTGTGAAAATTAGATTAGGAAAAATATCTCTCGAAAAAACAACTTACTGTGTGTAATAAACTTAACGCAATCTTCTTTTGACATGTTAGGTTTATAGTTGGCGTCAACGTACCCATAGACGTAACTAGACCCTGAACCCCCAATGGAAACCTGTTGCCGCACACACATCCCCCCAATGGGTATTGAATACACTTGGCCCCCTTTGCGTTTATCCCAACCTGCTACCAAAATACCCGCCATCAAAGAATCACGGTAATTATAGCACAGTTCGCGAAAAATTGCAGCCCCCGTTTCCACCAAAGGTTCTTCCCCCAATTCCATTCTAAAAAATCAAAATTTCTATCGAGAACGTTAATCTAAAATTGTCTCTACCCATGGAAACTTAGATGGTAGGCCACAATATCCGCAATAGCCTGAGTATCAGCCGCAGATCCCGAACGGCAGCAGTAAATATGGTCAGTTACTTTAGTCAATTTGTCTGTGACGCGATTAGCGATGTATGCTCTACAATTAGTGGGGTAATTTTTTAGAGGACAAAATTTTGTGCATGTTACCCTGTAGTGGTGCGAGAATCGGCCCCAATTATTACGCCCCCATTGAATTCCGCTGCCATAATAGAGGTCTAAAACAACAAGTCATGTACCTAACCTCAACACGACTTTTTCAGTAAAAAACTTACACCAGTGCTGTGGGCAGCATTCATCCAGTCACTCTCAGCATTTATGCCGTATTCACTTATTACAGGTGGCATTTTCGAGGTAAATTACAGAAAATCTAATTCACAGCTAAAAAGCAGGAACAACCGAACTATTTTGGTTGATTGACAATAACAATGTCGCCAACTGAACGCAAAATTAAATTAAAAATCACTAAACAGTAAACGAAACAGCAGGATTGTTCTTTTTACAATTTTATAAACAAATAAGAAATTATTTTAAGTTTATTGTACAATATTTTCTTTTACAAAATTACATACGGAAAAATAAAATGAATATCTAACATTTAAGGAACAAGTAATGATAAATTATGAAACAATAACGCAATTTAAACAATAATATAATAAATAATTGTTAATAATACATTAAAATGTTAGCAAACAGTCGCTAATAGTGGCGAATTATCGTTAGTCCAATGCAGAATAGATTGCTGACTAACTAGAGTCCAAACATAGGGTATGAAAAACTCTTCTGGTTGATCTTCTTCCACATATTTGAATTTCAAATGCGGAAATTTCTAAAAATTGATAAAAATTAAATATAAGAACTTATTCTAAAACAGTGCAAACCTTTAATTTGTCTTTAGGCCAACGCTTTGCGCCTTGCTGAATAACACTAAGCACCTGATAGGCATCAACTTCGTTTTGTTGCGTTTTATCATCCAACAAGTTTGAAAAATATTTAATAATGATTTCGATATTTTGAAGTATGTCTTGAAACGCAACATTTTCCTTAAAGGGTTCAAAAATATGTTTGTTATACAAAAGCGTGTAAACCAAATTTGGATTATTGACCAAGTGACTGGAAAGACACGAATTGAATATTTCTAAAACCATCCGCAAGACTTCTTCTAGAACTGTAATATCCTGTTCCATATCTTCACCGTCTTGAGACACTGTGATGGCATACTCTGAATTCTTTTCACTTTTCCCATTCAAGAACTTGGTTGACAATTTCTGATACCGTTTTGCTAAAGTCTCAAACAATGAAACCAAACGTTGGCTAACATAAGGGTGCAAATCTCTGAATTGGGCAGACATATTCGCTAAAGCTGCCAAGCAATTTGTGTGTAGGTATTTATCACGCATTTTTAGCATATTGTATTGTACTGTTCTTATCACCACCAGGACCAACAAACCACCTAAGGAGACTTCAGTTAGGGTCCTCTCCGTATACCAGACAATATTTTTCAATTTCTGAAACACCTTTCTTAAGACTGTTCTCATACAACAACGACATAATTACGATTTCATGAATCAATTTGTTGAAAGAATCGTCTTCACTCAGGATCAATAAAATGATAAGTGACATGTAGATGTGATGTGAGTTGCTGTTAGGGGCGTTATATAAAGTCTTCAAAATTGGAACAATCTTAAAAATTATTGTTATTTTAAAAGTGATAAAACCGTGGAGTTGTTACCAAGTGATCTAAATCCGTTCTATTTAAAAGAAAAGCCCTAAATGAATCATTTCTATGAATTAGTAAATAAAGTAATAATGTGGTCACGTCCCCTGACGCTTTTTTACAAATTGTTTCATAAAGGACGTTGTAATCTATCCTTGAAAAAATATTTGCTTGTATTGGAGCTATTGGATTATTGTCTACAAAATATTTTTTAAATTTTAGATAAATGTACTAGTGAATAAAAACTACCGGCACTATTCATACATAAAAAAAGACTATTCCTATACGGGTTGTTTTTTGTGGTCCAATGATGCACTAATACTAAAATCAGCAGCAAACTCTGGGTGGCTAAAGGTACATCTTGATAATCGCTGGTTTCAGACACCAACACTTCATCAGATTTTCTACTGAACGTCAAAATAGACCACAATTCTGCTGCTATTCCCAGTACAAGGCTGTGACCAGTGTTAGCCCCAAACCCTACAGGCACCTTCGCCTGTTTCATATAATTAGTTAGCAAACATTTGATAAGTAAAGGGGCATGTGTTGTGTGCTTCCCCCTCATTATAAGTCTATAAATATTGCTTTGGTCTGACTTTCGCCCTGAATGTAATTGCACCGATAGAAATATTAAAAGTGTAGTAATGGCCTCAAGATGTATGCCATATGTGGCGTCTTTAACTTCAACATCAACGATAATTTTAACTAGAGCGTCGATAAAAGTTTCAAGTCTTGTCCCACTGCCATTTACTTCAATTTGCTCAATTAATTGCTCCTCGGTCACAGTTTCACAAAGAAACTTAATAATGCAGCGAATAATAAATAATATGTTAAATAACTGCCAAATAAATAAGCTTCTAAAACGAGAATTATGAACAGAAATTATGGAAAAGCAAAGTTATTACGCGTCAGTGTTGGTGGCAGTCAAAAGCTCAGTGGCTCGAGACAGAAAAACGTCAATAATTGAACCTAAATTTCCTGAGGTGTGATTATTTTTCAGCAACAGTTGACAAAGGTTTTCAATTTTTGACTCTAATGCAAGCTGGTCATTACTAAAACAAACAGTTCAATGTTTCTTCTTCCAATGTAGGTGAAATCAAACCTTGTCATTGGTGGAGAAATGTTGAAAGCCACCAGTCTGTTCCAAAAGGGGTCATTTTGCGATATCGCTTGATTGCTCACAAATTTAAGTAAATAATCATTAGTGGACAATTCAAAATTTTTGCTAACAGCGGTACCCATTTCTAAAAAGGGCGAAACTTTTGCAAGACATTAACTAACGATCGATTGTATTTATACTCACTTATTTACTATTAATTTAATGTGTAACGCTCACCATTAGCATTTTTTAGATAAATTTGCTAAGACATAACCTTATCGTAAAAAGTAAACACGTCACCTGTCAAGTGACACTTGAACAAACGACGCACGCCACTGAAAAATCATCAAGTTGTGAAAAGTAGAGTGCTGGACACCACAATCCAACCAATTTTTTTGAGTTTTGAGAACTGTTTGGCATTTCTCAATACGAAACGTCAGATTATTTTTAACAGATTTAAAGCAATTTTAAGCCTTATTGAGTCTAATTCGAAGAATAAAATGTTGTGTTCAACTCGTCTTTGTGTAAATCGGTTCATTTATTCCACCTCGTGCATGATAAACCGCTCGTGAAATAAAAAAGCGTCCGATTTACACCACTCAAACTCATCGAATAAATAACTATTTTGTGTTTATCACAAATTTAAAAGGGATAAGAATAACGTATAAGAATTTTTAAATTATTTAGTGCCGTGCGTCTCCTGATAAATTACAGTGATGGACAGTGAAATAATCCACCCAATTTCTGTGAATTTACAAAAATTCACTGTAGTCTGTGCTTTATTGCTATGCTTTATTGTCATGATAACTGACATTAAATACGAATTGTCTAATTTAATCAAATTCGAACATGCCAGCAGTAAGTGCGTTTAATAAAACAAAAATTATCTCTCTGGTACAAAAAGGTTTGTATCAAAAACGTCTTGGGCATTCCAAAGACTACCATTTCAAAGGACAAAGGTAAAAAGTAGCAAAAAGCATCAAGCATTCTGTCAACATGACAAACGTTAATCAAAATTCTGAAACGAGGTTAGGAAAACCTAAAGACTAATTTACACTTTTAATCTGTCATGCAAATACGGGCTATTAGACATGACGTCACAGACGCGACTGTACTGAAGCTAAACATACAGTGTTGCCAGTTGTGATACTAGAGTACCAAATTGATACTAGATTTTTTTTACTAGATATTTATATTTACTTGCAAACAAATAATAATTTATATTCTCAGCCAAATACACATTATGTGAATGTTAATATATTTTATTTTGTTTTGTTTTGGTACGACCTATCCACTCCTGTCGTTTGCAACATTCTGGCAATGCTGTAAACATATTTTTGACGTACACAGAAAGTGAGGTTAGAACAGATTAAATTACAGAAATGTTGACTACAATTGTTAAAATCATTACGAAACGACACATATTTTTCATAGCAACTATTTCCTTAGAAACAATCTCCCTACACGTCCAGGATTCAAGAAATAAACTTTTATTTGTTTAGCTTCAAAGGTACAGTCAGGTACCTTGCTGACGTCACACTAATAGCGCGTATTGGGTGGACGAAATTCACTGTCCATCACTGTACGTAACAAATATTAAATTTAATGCTCACATTAAAATTTAAATAATAAATATTTATTTTTATGCTAGTGAATTTTCTCAAAAGTTTGATTTTTAAATTCTTATTTTTCATTTTAATGTGAAATACTCTCAAAGTACCATTTTCTGTTTTTGAAAAGTTGTTTCAGAGTTTTAAGTTTGTGACTCTTTATTGTTTTTTTTTTTGCAGAATGCATTTTATTTAACATAAATAAATGAATATAAATTGTAAAAAACAAAAAATAATGTAGTTTGAAATAGATTTCGACCACGTTTTTGCTACGCCACTGAGTTAAAAATTTGTTTTGTTTGTGCGCATGCGTAAAATTATTAATGCAACACACGTGCATTCTTTTTTCTTAGTTTTTAAATGTGCGGAAAGAAGATAGATGTTGTGAATGAGGCTGTGCTTATGTCATGTGGAGCGACAATCATCGTCCGCCTGTCAAAGAACAATATGGCAGTGGTAAAGCAATAATTTTTGTAAAATTTTTGGCAAGTTTTCTTTGTGAATATTGGTGATATTAGTGCGCGTGAATTTTTTTGACTAGTGGTTGTTTGATGGTGATGAGTGGGATGCTCCCGTCGTTCACGCCGCCCGTCGTCAAACGATTATTGGGATGGAAAAAAGGCACTGACGCCGATGACAGATGGTGTGAGAAGGCCGTGAAGAGTTTAGTAAAGAAATTGAAAAAATCGGGCGCTTTGGAGGAACTAGAAAGAGCGATTTCGTCACAGAATCATAATACGAAATGCGTCACAATTCCTAGGTGAGTTTTGGGCCTCGCTGTCTGCTCATGCACCAAGTTTAAGGTCATAGGTATTATGGATTTGTTTAGATCCCCTCACCGCACCACGTCTGGCTTGCGACCTACCCTAAATGTCTGCAAAATGTGCTGGTTGGGCCCACTCACACCACTGTGCCCAAATTGCGCAATTTTTATTCCAGCTTCCTACCCCATATACCACGCATATAATTCGCTCAAAACTCGCTCACATCCAGTTGAAAATTCTTTTTATTATATTTAACTTGCATTTATTGGCGCTGATTTATTGATCATTTGTAGAGTTCGGCCGGCTGCTGAATTAGGCAACGTCCAGCAACAGAGAAAAGGTTTGCCCCACGTTATTTATTGCCGGCTATGGAGATGGCCTGAGCTACAGTCGCACCATGAACTTAGACCTCTCGAAAATTGCGAATATGCGTACAATTTAAAAAAGGAGGAAGTCTGCGTCAATCCATACCACTATACTAGAATTGAAAGTCCAGGTATTATTCATGTTTTGTCTTCCAGACTTACAAAAAATGAATGCAAAACACTAGTTGGAAATTTGAAGAGAAAAAACTACGTAAGTGAGTCGTTTGTAGAAACCCTAAAATTCTATAAATTTATAATAAATTAATAAATTGAGTTAGACACAATAATTCATTTACATGAGCAACAGGTAATGAAAAGTATCTTATTTCTCAAAACAACTTGCTTAAGTGGAAATTTTGAATACGTTTGCATACATTTTTTCACATAAAAATAGAGTAAACTAAGAAATACTTACATTAATTAGCTATATTATAAAAGTCGTGTTATGACTTCGTTTTATCAGTAAAATAACAGCGAGAGGTGCTTATTAACGTTTATTTTATTTTTTTATATTCTATGGAAATATTTAGTTTATCCAAAAAAGAAGACGTTTACTTGTATCTTGATTTATCTCTTTATGCCTTCATTAGTTGGTGTATAACAAAAGTTCCAAATTGAATTTTTGCATTAAATTATTTCATTTATGATTTAACCTTGACATGTTACACTTATGTATTTGTTTTTATTTTATTTTTATTAATCAGCAACACGGAATTATGCAAATTAGATTATTTTGTAACACCCAGTCGGCAAAAGTAAGGAAGAAAAACAAGTTTAATTAAAATTATCATTAACTCATTATCATTATTTTTATTTTATCAGATTTGTTACTTATACAGGGTGTTTCACACAACTTTACGAGATTTGCGCCTAATGTACTCGCCCAAATATACAAAAGTCACAATACACTAGATACAAAAAATACACATTTAATTATTTAATTTTTGAAAACCCATGACAGTAGTTGGCAAACTAATCAATGTTTTATTAATTGTAGTCATAAACTGTAGTTTTTCAGTAACAATTATCATTTGTTCTATCAAGAGACGGCATAAATATGATTCTAGTTTATCTATCTTAATCACTAACTTACTAAAAAAATTGTAATTTTTGAAAGGGTGAACAAACTAGGGAATATTATCCAATTTTTCAAAATTTGTAATCGAGTTCGTATCGGAATTCGTATTATTGATTGCATATTACAGGCGCAAGCCTCGTAAAATTATGTGAAACACCCTGTATTACATAAATTGAAACGGTACAAGATTAATCCTCCTGTTGCAGCCCTCCCAGCCATTTTAGTTCCCCGCCATCCACTAAGTGACGAAAACAACTTGTTTCCGCATTCACTGGAAGACCTCAGTACGTCAGTGCCCGAAAACACTTCATTTCCGCATAATCCAAATAGTCTAGGGTAATTTTTTCCCTCTTTCGCAAAATCTATAAATTTAATGAGCAATTCCAGTTTGCATATGCAGCATTCTGGGGGTTACATGGATGCGGTTGGTATATGTCCGAATGGCGCCCCTGCGAATATGGAATCTCCTCACAACGCCGCTCCACCTACTGAAACTCCTCCTCCTGGTTATATGTCCGAAGATGGCGATCCCATCGATCCTAACGATAACATGAGCATGTCCAGGATAACTCCTAGTCCTCCGGTGGATGCACAACCTGTACTTTACTGTGAACCCGCTTTTTGGTGTAGTATCAGCTATTATGAGTTGAACACACGAGTGGGAGAAACGTTCCATGCTAGCCAACCGTCGATTACGGTGGATGGGTTCACAGATCCGAGCAATTCGGAAAGGTGATAGATGGTTAAAATTTAAATTTTTGGTAATTTGTAATGTTTAGATTTTGTTTGGGGCTGTTATCTAACGTAAATCGGAACACCGTCGTGGAGCAGACCCGACGGCATATAGGAAAGGGTGTAAGACTTTATTATATAGGTAATTAAGATAAAAAGTGATAAATCGGAGTGTAAGGTTGCAATTTTTAAAGGTGGTGAAGTTTTTGCTGAATGTTTGAGCGACTCGAGCATTTTTGTGCAGTCACCAAATTGTAATCAGCGGTATGGATGGCATCCCGCTACAGTATGTAAAATTCCTCCAGGTATTAAAAAATTGAAGTAAAGTGTGAGATAAAACAATGTCTATTGCAGGATGCAATTTAAAAATTTTCAACAACCAAGAATTCGCAGCCCTTTTATCACAATCTGTAAGCCAAGGCTTTGAAGCTGTTTATCAATTGACGAGGATGTGCACGATAAGAATGTCTTTTGTTAAGGGTTGGGGGGCGGAGTATAGGTAGTATATCCAATCAAATCTTCCGTTTTTTATTAATTATCCATCCCCAGGAGACAAACTGTGACTTCAACGCCGTGTTGGATTGAACTTCACTTGAATGGACCTCTCCAGTGGTTAGATCGCGTCCTAACTCAAATGGGCTCACCTCGGTTACCATGCAGCTCAATGTCGTAAAGTACTGAGTGAAATGAGTGTCAAGTTCGGTCCAGTTTTCAGTCATAACTCAGCTAGTATTTTCATTGGGAAAAATTGTTGCAAATCAAATTACGTTTTGGGTGATATAAAAAAAGTGTGGCGATTTTTTTTACGTATAGTTACTATTTAGCTTTACAAAAAGTTTTATTTTAAATTTAGAGAGATTTATTTTATATTGCTGAGTTTTAAACTGTTGGTGTTGTTGGTGTTGCAAATATATTACACTTTACAGGTGACAATTTCATCTTTGGCGTAGCAATGGAAAAAATTTATGTATTATATAAGACTGATTTGATAATTGTGAATGCTAGAGTAATTGTTTTAATCCCATCCAGTTAACATTACGTAAAGTACTGTTTATATTTTATCTAATTGTATTTACTTTGTTTATCAGTTCATTGTGTGCGCTAAACTTGAAGTTGGTCCAGAAATTTATTTCTAAGATTAGAAAAGTCTGTTAATCAAAAAACTTACCCAGAATTATTTGGTGCAAATGAGGACATACGAGGCGGGCCTTGTATGAGCAGTCAGATACAATAAGTGTTGCCATGCAGATAATGCATTCAAGTAAAAATCGGCTAGTCACGATTTTAAGAACAATACACTTTGTTGAGGCATTTTTTGTATTTGATTCTACCCTGATTCAGTTGTTTTAACATGTTGTAGTCCTTGAAATAATTGAACTTTAAGAACAAAGTATATAGATCACTATATTTTTCAAGGAACAAAATTGGTGCTGCTGAAATTTTTGCAATTTTTTATGTTGTACATTTGCAGCAGTAACAACAGTTGTTTTTAAGCTGTATTGATGGAGTTGTTTTTGTGAATTTATGTCGCATACCGTGATGTTTAGGTTTTACTTTGTAGTGTTTGTTACAAGTTTTTTAGCTGATCCATCTTGTGAGTCACAATTGATGTTATAAGCTCATATTTGTACTATATTACTTTGTTTATTGCATAAGTATAGTTTGTATCTGGCAATTACCAAATTATTATATGCATTTTACTTGACAAAAAAATATATAGCCGTTAATTTACTAAGTTTTGGTTTTATTTCCCTCAAACTCAAAACAAAACCAGCACATACAATCCAAATTAAAATACATGAAAATTACAAGCTAATCGAAGCTGAGTTAAAGCACACTGAGAATTAGCCAGGGGGCCATTGGAGCTGTCTGCCAGACAAAACGTGCACGTGTATATGATAAACAGACTGAGCTCCAATAGGACCGTCATTGATCACAATACGAAAACCATTTTTCAAATTTCGTTTTTGAGCGATTTTCCGAGCGACAATCAGCAAGTGTCCCAAAAGAGGTCCGTCGTTATCTTCAGCCTTGGACAACTGAGGAATAGGCTTGCGAGGAATCACCAAGAAATGGACGGGGGCTTGCGGATTAATGTCGTCAAATGCGACACACTAAAAATGACAATTTAACTTAAAACAAATTCGGAAAACTAGCACTCACCAAGTTGTCTTCATAAATGAAATTACAAGGTATTTCTTTGCGTAATATTTTCCCAAAAATAGTGTCTCCTTCCGGCAAAGCCGTTTGGGCCAACTGCACTTCATTCGCCATTTTTCCGACAACCGGTGTCGGTAAAAAGATTATCTACATTATCGGTAGAGGCAACAAGCCAAATGTCATTTTCAAATTTTTGAAATGTTAACGGTTTCTCCAAATTTAAAGCTATTTGAACAAAAAATAAAAACATTATTTTATCGAAAAGTTCAAAACTTACCTCTTACTGCTTTACTTAAATATTTTTTCTAAATGAATGCGGGTTTTAGAACTGATGGGTGGAAAAGGTTAAGTGCAGAAAGGCATCAAAAACACTAATTACGAACGAAAAGGTAAAACAGATTTATTGAAAAATGAGTAGGAACACAAATTTAACATAGAAAACGTAAGAATCGAACAATACTGTTAAAATTAATTGGTACCGGTTGACCCAAATCCGCCTTCTCCACGCGCCGTTTCGTTCAGTTCCTGTAATTTAAGTCTTACAAAAACGTATTTTTCCTGCAGAAAAACTTACTTGAACTTCCTCGATATCGGGGTAATAAATCCGCTCGCAAATTAGCTGTGCAATCCGGTCCCCACTCTTGACATCAAAAGGAATATCAGAATGATTGAATAAGACTACTTTGAGCACGCCCCTGTAGTCCTCATCAACGACACCCGCTAAATTTTCAATCATTATCACGCCCATAATAAAAAAATATCAACCTACCGCCTACGTCGATAAAATTCTTCACTGCCAAGCCCGATCTAGGAGCAATCCTCCCATAACACCCTTCTGGAAGCTGGACTTTGAGACCAGTGTCCACGAGGGCCTTACCCCGGGCAGGGACAATGCAGTCGAAGGCGCTCTTGAGGTCATAACCGGCAGCTTTAATTGAGCCTTTGGTTGGGGCATACGCCTCTGGAACCACTTTGGTGTATTTCAAGACAAGACTAGATGAAGGCATTTTCTTTTTTTCTGGTTCTTGCAGGGTACTTGTGTTAGCGAAAGCACGAAACGGTCTGACGAAAAAGGCGCGAATTTGCCCCGCCAGCACTTCTTTGCCGCCAATTCTTAGCACCTGGCGCACAACTACCGGCATCTTTCGAAAAAAGGCAGAAAAATAAGAAAAAAAGCGGCAAATAATCGCTTCAAGGCTACCATTAGGTTTTTGCAAATTGGTGATAACGTCAAAGGAATTTGCGACTGTTATTTATATTTTGCTGATTTTAATTTAAATACCTAACCTAACTTCTCAAATAAATACATAAATAGTTAATGTAATTAATGAACTAATTATCAACCCTTAATTATGCACAATTTTTTTATTTCATGCTTTGATTTAAACGATTTCAAACAACCACTTTCTGTTAACTTCACTAGAAATAGGTTAGAAAATTTTTCTTATTGCGCAATATTTATTTCCAAGTTTGGATTACTTCGCAAACGATAAATATGATAAATTTACTTATATCAGATATGGACAAAAATCCTCAAATGTGTATTATATACTTTTATTGGTTATTATGAACACACATGCTCTTTAACAACCGGATAGTGAAAAATACCTAAATTATTACAAATATTTGCACCTATAAGTACGATGACTAATACAAAATGCCTCTATACTATAATAAAATTGGAATGAAGGCACTATAAAACAGAAAACTCGTCAAAGTTAAAACGTAGACTATAAATAAATTAGTTTAAATGCACCCCAAAAGATCTACTCCGGACCCGAATCCAAATTATCCGGACATGATTAATTTAACAAATTCTTCATAGTTAACATTTCCCTGCGAATCTTCTTGGCCTTGCAGCAGTTGCTCGACCTCATCATCTGTCAGTTTCTCCCCAAGAGTGGTAAGCAGGTGGCGCAATTCCGCTGAACTGATGTACCCATTTCCATCCTTATCAAAATGACGAAGCCCTTCAATGAAATCATCAGCAGTGTCGGCACTCCTTGACTTAGAAATTTGTTGGTAGATTGGCAAGAAAACCTCGAATGAAACCCTCTCGTCGGGTTTATGTTGATGGGTGTATTTTTTCACATCAGATTCTGTGGGGTTTTGCCCCAAAGCCCTCAACGCGTCCCCAATTTGCGACACGTGGATTTTGCCATCGCCTCTGTTGTCAAACAATTGGAAGGCCTCTTGGAATTCTAAAAGAAACAAAAATTTAGGTTTGATAACCTTTGGACTAATTACCTTCGACTGAAGTTAGAGTGAGTTTACTGGGCGGTTCATAAAGATACATTGTGGGTTAATGCTGAGACTGCTGATGAACATCTGCGTTTCACTAAATGGGTTTGATGAAATCGTGGTCACTTTCAAAACAGTACCATATAAGGATGAAATTGCCAGTATGAATCACTGCGTGTTGGGGGCTGGTTCTTGCCCTACTATTTCTGTTTTGTGGCTTATTTACATTTTTATTGGGGTTGAAAATTAAATGGAAGTGAGTGTTCATGATAAAAATGAGTTTATGTGAAAAAATTATAAGGGAAATAGAGCGAAACTGTACAAATAAGACCGTGATATGTGTGAGGAAGAATGTAAGGCGGGGCTACATAGCCTAGTTTTGCATTTCTCTTTACTTACCGGCCATCTGGTCTTCTGTATAGTTTGCCTGTAATAAAACAAAGTACTCTTTAAAGATTTATACCACAAATATATTGTTTCACAGTGAAATTAATTAGTTTGAGTGAAATAACTTACCATGTCGATTTGCATACACCTGAATAACTGTCAAACATTACCAGTTGAATGCACTGATAAAATAGGCAACCAACAATACACAAGGCGCTCAATTTGAATTTTGATTTTCTATTGTGATGGTTAGTTAATTTTTTAAACATTAAAATTAGAAACACTCATAATTTTACTAGAACATAAAAAATGTGGGTATGTGTTTAATTTAGGCATTTAGAGTGATGCAATCGCCACAATTTTGCAAACACTACAAAAAACGAATTAATTAATTTTATTCAAAAATTTGGTTTAGCTTCTTTTGGTGTTTCGATTCATGGACATCCGGAAACAAGCAAAATGTTGAAATGATGTGACTAAACCACATTTTCAAAGTAATTAAATCCATCATAAAGATACCTACAAGGTGAACAATATATGAACTGAATTCATGATCAGCCACGTGAACAAGCTGAAATGTCTTATGAAAGTATCGTAAAGAGCAATGCACATCTGAAAAAACGAACCTGAAGCGATCCTACTGAATAAAGATAAGTGTCGCATAATTTTGAATAATTACAAGAAACCGCTCGAGTCTTAGACTGACGTCTCGTTGCTGATAATCAGCTATTGCATTGCTAATCATTCACAATAATTTACATTAAGCGTGTAAATATAGTTATTTTCGATAATTAGATTAACTGAATCGAAACCAAGGTAAAATTCTTCAAAAACAATGTCAGATTCAATTTTTAATTGGATAGGTTAATTGGGTAAAATTGGTAACGAACTATTTTAGGGAAGAATCGGTATGTCATGTGTGCTATTATGCAAATTAAATTTCCTGTGTATAGTAGGTAGCAGTTGCCGCGTTGAAGTCAGCCATGGTCTTATGACCTTGATATTTCAATCAGAGCTGGAGAAAACGCTTAGAATGTGACCGTTTTCCTACGAAGGAGGAGGCGCCTGCATAATTCAAACGGTGCTTTACATTCGAAACTTTTTTTTCTACCACCTTTTTAATATATTTTCAAAGTCCTTTTTTATTCAAGAGAGGTACAGGGAATAAAATCTAACAAAGTTATAAATTTATGAAAAAAAAGTAAATGTGATCATGTCGTTCCATTTATAACAAATTCTTATTTCCGATATTTATTTGTTTTTAAAATGTCGATACATCACTTGGTTTGCAAATTGGAAATTTAGTAGATACTATTAAAAAAAAATAAAAAGAAACTGAATGAATTATTCAAAAATATTTAATACAGGTCGGGTTTAACATTTCTCACCTCATACATAATAATGTATGCATATTATTCAAACTTTTGACTAGGCTACAAATTGTAGAAAATAATTAAACTGAAATTAAATGTAAGTGCGAAATTAAATTGAAATAAAAGTAAATCATAATTTTATATTTAATAAATGCAAGCAAAAGTGAGTAGGATGAATAAGAAATGTAAATGGAAAAAATAAAATTTGACACTCCTTTTGTCGATGCTGACTGCAGTTTGATAAAAAAGATAACAACAAATTAAAAAGCGCATAAATTTGTTTATCTGAGACCTGTTATGTAATTTGCATCTTTTTTAAATCACCTGTTTGTTTCATTTATGCGTTTTAAATTTTAATTTGTGGTCGTTGGCGCCCATCCCTTTGCACGCCCTATTAAACAGGTGTGTGAGATACATATTTATGTAAAATGCATACACACGTACAAAATTCGCGATCAAATGTCAGCAAATAGATTCTCATTATGACATGATAAAATCATTATTACCGGCAACAGCATTAAAAAGCGAAGTCAAGTCTAACCAGATAATAAAACGTAACAATCGCCACTACAGAACTCAAAATTTGAAAGACAAATAAAAGAAAAGGTAATGTCGGTGTCCTTTTCGCGGCCCTGCACTCGAAGAAAGTCAATCACTGTTGCACTTTGCGAGTGTTGTAAATTATTCTTGCTGCAATATCGGTAGGAAATTGGTTTGGTTAGCCTTGTTTGGTAGGAGCCCACCTCAAAGGAGTAACGCCTAATGAAGGCGCCTTTTGTCTGGAATTTTACTCATATTGTATGAACTAACGAATAAAATATATGTGAGAAAAAAAAAACTTGTTATAATGTAGAAAGTATTTCAGGGTCAGGATTTTTAATTATAAACATTTGGCCATTATCAGAGCTGGGCCAAGCCCTTAACTTTTTTATTTTGTTTACAATATTAATGTGTGTCCGGTGCAGATTAAGATATTATCAGTCTCGCGTTAGAAATTACGAATTTTGGTAATTTTGCCCAGGAGCACGTCATTGACTTTGCTCTTGAACGGGGCACCTGTGCTACTGCCCACAATTAGTTTACAAAAGCTAGAATGATTTATGAGTTGTTTGAAATTGTAATGATCTAGTATTAAGTTGTTTTAAATAAAATTAATAAAAGTAAAAGTGATTTTAAAAAGTACGTTAAATTCCTACGCCCATAGTTGATCTAATAGTACATACAATTAGCGGAGACAGTTCAGGGTCGTACTTATGCTTTTCCAATTAAACGGTAGCAAAATGCAATTTCAGTCAAAAAGATTTACTCGAATTTGAATATAATCTGATTGACTTAGCACCTTAAAAAATTATAATTTGTAAAAAGTAGACTGTATTTACTATTTATCTCAATTAGGTTAATTTAGAGCTAATTGATGAATGATTAATGGATTCAGAATTTTATGGTTTAGAGATACCGCTAACAAGGAACACCTGAAATTAGATACTGTCATTAAGTTATCGGCAGTAATAATTTATTGAAATTTGTGTTTCTGTTAATTTTAAGGAGCTATTATACCAATAAAACAAAACAAATTCTGATAAATTCCTTGATATTTAGGTATGTACATTTATGGCATTTATTATAGCTAATTTTGGATTGCAATAATTGGTTATTAAGTGGCGCTAAAAATGAGAATATTTGATTTTAAATATATTATTTATTTTGTACATTTTATAAACAATATTCTATTAAGAAATTGTGAGAGCCGCTATTAAGTTTTAAAGTACTTTAAAAAGAAAGCTATATTTAGAAAAAATCAATATTATATGTAGTTGAAAAATAAACATTATGGAAAAAAGAAATAAAATTTCTACAAAACACTGGAGAAAATAAGCGATATCAAATGTTCGGAAAATGTAAACGTTTTAGAAACTGTACATTTAGCAAAATAAATTCCAATAAATTGCAATTACACTTAATGGCTTCCGAATATTTTAAATTTTGTCATAAAATTAAACGTATTACAATCAAATTATTTAAAATGCTTTTAAAAAATTCGGCAAAATTTATTTTAATTAATTTTGTAAATAGTAGATAAATATTGTAAATAGTAATATTTTTAGATTCTTAAAATAATAATTAAATCTTATAACAGATTTGAGTTATAATGGCAATTTTGAAGTAAATTATAATTTCCTATAATTTTTTTAAATTTTCATTGTTTTCACATATTAATTAATTATGTAATACATTTAATTCAGATTTATTGTATTTTGTAATTTATGTCATGAGCTTTATTACCACAATGTGCAAAAATACTGCATCAATAATAATACATATACCTACCAAATACTTTGAATTTTGAAAATGAAAAATATACAGATTTGTTTTCTTTCAAAAAAACTTTTGCATTTCGTATTTGTTTCCTTTGCTTTACAAGTTTTTTACTTACTCTTTACTGAATTATGTATAAGTACTTTGCATTCATACATACATTTATCATCTTTGCAATCAGTAAGGTTGCTCCCATTGTACTCACATTACATAGTGCACAAGTTAATAAAAGGGAGGTCATGAAACACATATTTTATAAGCATTACGTAAATTGTTAATTATGTGTATTACCAACAAAGGATTTTTGTAAATGTAAATACAAAACTTTAATATTATTTTTTAAATAGTAATATTAAATTAATTTAAAGTAAGCAATTACAATAATTACCCATGCAGAAAATTGACAGATCGACATGATAAGTAACTTGCGAAAGATTAAAATAGTATATTTGAATTTGCGGTTAGATGTAGCAACGATAATACAAGCCATTGTTTGGAATGCTGTTTTGCAACTTAAAATTGGAAAATATTATTTTAAAAACTTTTGTTTAAAAAAATGGAAGATATATACATAGGTAAATCAATGCAGTAATTTGTGAACAATTTACCACACATTGTGTGCAAGACTGCAAATTCGGGTAATAACAAGAAAATTATATTGTTTTCAAAACATATTCAGTCCGAGATGCTTGTAGAAGCCACCATTTACAATATCAATATTCATGCACAAATTTTGCATATCGTAATTTTATGTTAATTATTTAACTGTAAATTAATTAGATACCTTTTGAAACGTAAAAAATATTTAATTTATTTATTATTATTAATTTTTGGATCTGTAATGTTTAAAGTATTCCTTGAGATGTCAGCAACTATATTTGGTTTGATTCCAAATCCAATTTCTGGTTATTTATTACAGGACATAATATCGATATATTATTAATATTTTGACTGTTATTAACTCATAAAATATGATTTTAATCATATCATTTCTATTAAAAATTTTATTTCTATTGCTCTTATTATTGGGGAATTGTCCTTGCCTGAATTGCTGTGTTACATTTTTGATAAGTTTATCATTTTAACATCTGATGTCAGATGCAGTCACCTAGAACTCTACTTTAAAATTTACACAAAGAATGTGCAAATTCAAATTCTTTTCTTTACAATAAGTACGAACGGGTTTGTCAAGAAAGTCACATTTCTGAACTTAAAAGTATTCATTTATATGGTCACCGTAATCAATCAAGGACAAAAATAAAAAGTAAAATGACTTTTATTTTGAAAAAATGCAAATCATTTTTCATTGCACTCATAACTGTTTCAATAAGTTACAGTTTGCTAAATCAGTCCCATCGCATAAATTATTTAACGGAAAATAATAAGGAATAAAAAAATAGGAAGCTGCACTAAAAATTCCAATTTGAGTTCCGCATGGTTTTAATTGATTATTTCCATCATTATGTCGTTATAATTTTTCAGTGATTGTTACATTTCAATAAAGTTTTCGGACTAATCACCAGAGTCTATTTAGCATAATTCAAATCAATCTTTAATTACACGTACTGGAGGCTACACTTGAGGTCAATTCTAAATTCAATACACGTCGCAAAGGTCACTGGTGGGTGCAGTCCCTTTGAGTCAAAAGGCCTGAAGTGGCCGATTCCGAGACGCGCCTATTCGAACGATGCACGCTTTTGAAAGGGCATCCTCAATTAAATATTTTCAAGGTGGGGTTACCTAATTTCGTTGAAATATTCCCCGATTTCAATTTCTCCACTTACTTAATGCGTTTCAAAAACGCAAACGATTGCAGAAATTCCTCAAATCGTGCTCAAGGTGGTGGTGGGCCATTGTAATGTCCCATCTCGTAAGTTCATGGTTATCCCATGGGTAGGGTGTGGTACCACTATAAATAGAGCAGATTTCGGCTGATTGTCATTGTAAATTCGAACAGCAAATTACCAACATGTTTGTAAAACTGGTAAGTAGCATCAGTGCAGCAGTGACCAGTGATTGTGATTGAAAATTTCAGGCCGTATTAGCTTGCTCTTTGGCTGTCGCCGCCGCGGTGTACAGCGGCCCCTTGGCTGGAGGCGTCCCTGCGGCCCAATTCCCCGCCGGAGTGAGCCCTCAAGCGTGCCCCAACTACCCCAACTGCGCAAACCCCTCCGTGGCCGTTAACCAAGCCCCCGTCTCCCAATACAACGCCGTTCCCCAGTACAACCCCGCTCCCCAATACAACTCCGCTCCCCAGTACGCCCCAGCCCCTCAATACACCGCTCAACAGTACCAACCTGCCCAACAATTCGCTCCACAACAGTACAATGCAGCCCCCGCCCGCCCTCAATACACTCCTGAAGTGCAGAACGCTTTGGACCGCGGAGAATACATCGGAGATGGTGACTACCACGGTGAAGGTCTCGCTGAAGCCCTCGCTCCAGGATACCAAGGTAGTTAAGAGTTATGCTCGGAACAGGTTGTAATGTGTGTTTCAGGACAAGCCCAGGCTTACAACGCCGCACCTGCTTACAATGCTGCTCCTGCTTACAACCCTGCTGCCTACGCCCCCCAACCACAGGCTCATCACCAATTGCCTGCAGGTGTAGGCCAACCCGCTCAAATTCCTGCTGGAGTTGACGCCCGCTCTTGTCCCAATTATCCTTTCTGTCACTAATTTAAGAAAAACAAGCTAGACTGCCAGCTGACAACATGTTGTTGCATTTATATTTACTATTTTTGTAAATCCTCTGTAATATATAGTCTAAATTAATTTTATTTAATAAAAGTTAGAAAAAATTTTGAGCTTTTATTGGGCGTGATGTCATTAGACGAGAAAGGCAAGTGCTGAAACAATCGTGCGTTCTTGAAAAATGCTTTGTTTCGCCGGTAAGGTCACAGTCTCATTATGAGACAGAATAAGGAAAGCCTCACCTAATAGAGGTATTTCAACTTTTTATCCAATACCAACAATTTTTTTGCTTAATGCTTGAATATTTACCATGGCAATGAAGCAAAGAACCTTGGACACATGGTGACAGAAAGCGAAGGAACAAAGTTTTGAACTTACCACACGTTCATTAAAGCAAGGATTGTACCCTAACATTGCATTACTTCGATATTTTATTCCACTTACGTGTGGGATCGGTATTAAAAATATATACTGTTACATTTTCTATGCAACGGGTGGATAAGGTGTGGTGCTTATATAAATAGAGCACATTTACCTCCTTGTTCAGTTCATATTCTACAAAATAGCAACATGTTTGTAAAACTGGTAAGTTACACCCCCACAAATTCGGGGGCCATCTCTAAAAGTGCCCACCCAAATGGATTAACTAGTGACAGTGATTGTAGTGTGCTGTGTTCGGGAATAACCCCATTCAGCTTCGGGAATTATCTCATTTTTATTCGGTTTGTTTAACCAAAAACTAAAATTAGTTAAATTGCAGACCGTTTTGGCCTGCTTGATAGCGGCTGTCTATGGGGTGTGGAATGGTCCCCTGGCTGGAGGCGTTCCAGCTCACCAATATCCCGCGGGAGTGAGTCCCCAAGCGTGCCCCAACTTCCCCAATTGCGCGAACCCCGCCGTGGCGGCGAACCCCAATGCCCCTGCTCCGTACAACCCTGTACCCCAATATAATCAGTACAATCCTGCTCCTCAATACAACGGGTACAATCCCGCACCTGTTCCTCAATACAATCCCGGACTTCAAAGTGCTTTGGACCGAGGAGAGTACGTCGGAGATGGGGACTGGCACGGGGAAGGGCTCGCTGAGTCTGGAGCTTATGGAAATAATGGTATGACAATTTCAGAATTGTGTTAAACGAATTGACTGGTTTACTTCTAGGACAACACGGCGGCTACAATGGTGGCTACAATCCTGCACCAGCATACAATCCTGCTCCTGCTTACAATCATGGCCTTCCTGCTGGAGTGCCGGCCCAGGTTCCGGCTGGAGTGGACGCCAGGTCTTGTCCTAATTATCCATTCTGCCACTAGAGCTAGGTGGGCAGTCAGCTGACAACATGTTGTCTCTTTAGGTTTAATTTTTTGATATCCATCATGCTGTGTTCTAAACTTTCCTCTAGGTGTACATATTTTGATTACTGACTTTTTACTACACCTACGTTCAGACGCTGTAAATTATACAATGACTTGATAAATAAATATATTTTCTTAAAAATCGTGTTTTATTCAAGTTTAGTGTATTAAAACAAAAAATACAACAATTCCATTTCAAAATGAACAAACAACCAATTACAGTTTTACATTTATGTACACAATGGATGTAGACTCATCCACTCCCACATTTTTTGTTTTATTAAATATTATGCAAGGAACATGTAACCTATCCACATTTTATTTTTGTAAGGATGGTTTTTGTTGTTTTTAATCCAAGATATTGTGAAGACCTTCCACTTCCCAAAATTTTTATTAATTCATTTCTTCAAACTGTCACCGCACTCGGTACGATTCGATTTTATCCAATTAGGTGTTGCATTTCTATAGTGTTGGATAATGATTTTGGTTCTTGTGAATATTTATTGTGGATGGGTAAATAAAAGATGTTTGCTGTAGACATTTATTTAATATCTCTTATATGTTTCACAGTAAAGTAATATAACATCAATATAACTATATGATATGTATATTATGATATGTATCAATCTCGTTCCATCGAGAACTTTGCGCTCAAACATGTGAAGCAGTATTTGAAATCCTTGTCCGCGATCAATTTAGCACTGCTGCTATTTGTTTTCTGCCATTATTCACAACTTAGTAATTAATCGCGAAAGGTTTCCTGGCGCAAATAATAATAAATCATCACAGTTAGACGGTTAAAAGTTCTGAAATATTATTCTGTAAAATATAACTCTTGTGCGTTCTACGAGAAGCACAATCAGTAAAATCTCCCTTACAACTATATAAGTACTACGATATGTATTTTTTATCATCTCAATACTAAATCTAGGCCAGATTTAAAATTTGATTGAAAACACCTTAAACACTATAAATACCTCAGCCAATATGTAAAATTGAAATCAATACGCTTACGGATGTTAATGCGATCAAGAACTTACGTTGTACGTTTCTATTGGAGGGCTCGAACTAATAACACTAGAATTCCTCAAATCAATAAAACCGTAGTAGTGTACAACAAAAACCTATAATCGATGTAACCGTACGACGTAACTTCCAAAGTAACGTTGAAATGTACATGTTTTGTTACAAATTTAGTGCATAGGTCTTTTAAAACCGGCCAGTCCTGTGAGCCTCTTCTCCCCGGCCGTGTGCTGGATATTACTTTTGATCTGGTCGGAGGCCACGGGCCCTATGCACACGAGCGGATCCTTGAAGTAGGAGCAGACCTGCGAAAATAGTCGCTCATTTTTATCGACCCAATAGTGGGAATTTGGGTCGCGACCCACTTTTCATCCCGGAAGATTGTACTCACCTTCCGCGGAGCTTGTCGGTGACGTCTCTGCAATTGGCAACACAAGCCGCGGGAGATGTCACACTCGCTTGACATGTTGCAAGGTTCGGAATATTGTTTGTCTTGATGAACAGGGGGTCTGCATACTCGGGTCGAAACACCTGGTTCTGCTTCCGCACATACTAAGCCTGATTCGCAATCGCTGTCTCTTCGGCACAATTCACCAACTCTGCGCCCGTAAGCAAATAAACACGATCCGACTACTGCAACAAGTTGGCCGAATTACATTAAAGGCATTCTATATTTCAAAACTAATTTGCAATTGCGAATGTTACTAGTTACTACCTCTTCATTGCGTGTGTGGTTTTTCATCTTTTTTTGAAACTTGTACCATAAAATAGCGTTTTGAGACAAATTGAAGCACTTGTGGCGTGTATAACCTTTTTGAGACTCCAGAAAGCATACACTTTTAATGACCGATTTAAATGAGCAATGAAAAATCTTTTAGTTACTTTATTTAAGTTGTTTATTATTTATTTACTCTAAATGACATATTTTCAACAAAAATCATAACAACAAAAATTAAACTTACTTTAATTTTTAAATACATATTATTTTGTTGTCGAATAGAAAAAAGCAGTCACGGAAAATTTTAATTTTTTGTTAATTTTGTTTATTCATAATTACCTATTAATTAATTTTATTTTTTCCACTTTACAGCTTACTTAAGTACAGCTTAAGTGTATGTACATAAGTTGTAAGAAAATATAATACAATTATATATATATAATCTTTGAAATTTTTAAACTTGATATTAATTATATATTTTATGAGTTTTCAAGTCTGCCATCCAAAAAGTACCTAACGTGGAAAAATGCATTGTTTTAAAATAAACTCTTAAAATTAGGCAATTACTCGGGTAATCCGGATCGGTTTAACAGGGTTGTTAGCTTGGACAGCCTAGAGGTTTGAATAACAGAAAGTCGTTATCATAATAATAACGATTTTCATAATGTAATTTGTCGTCCCAACTAATAAAATTTTAAATTCTGAGATGCTTTTGATAAAGCACACCGCTATTATTTTCTCTAATATAAAAAAAGTTTGTTTGAAAAAATAACTTTTTCACTTTGGAACACTTTGTGCGATCTAAATCGAATAAAAGCTCCGTCAGATTTTTTATCCAAGGATTGTTTGTGTTGACAGCGAGAGTGCCAACAATTTTGTACAAAAGAGACAATTTCGGAACTTGCCGTCCGTTATCACTCAAGCAATTTTCCTTCCTTTACCTCCTATTCTTAAAGTAGCCCTAAACATTTACGTTTTTTTTCAAGATTTATCGAGCTGTCCTCGCTGTTGTAACATTATTAAGGTATAAAAGGAAAATGGCGTAATTCAATGATATTACCTCCATCTACGTCGACACAAACAGAGCCGGGGCAGCAGTGCTCGTTGGCAGTGCATGGTTTTCCATAGCAGGGCTCCTCCTCGCCTTCGTTGGTATACTCTTCTAAAATTCCCTTGTCATCGTCGCCTGTTCTCTGAAACGACATTTTCGTATAATTTACTTCCGTTGATTCAATTTTCGTCTTGCAGATAAAAAAAATAAGTGAGTTTTGGTCGGAATACTGGCCGAAAAGTAAAATTGGATGTGGTTTCAATGTTATTTCATTGAGATTAAATGGCAGCTAACCTGTATAAAACCTCCATGTCCCCCATATCCCATGTTTGCGAGCATTTCGGGCGAAAATCTATTAAAAAGTCCTCCCCAAGCATGTGTTTTATGTCCCAAAAGGCAAGCCGTAAATAGTATGATGAGAGCACGCATTTTTAGTCTGAAAACAACAAGTCATTTTAATAAAAGGTGAACGACACAATGAAAACTAAAAAGGCTTTTTACGTCAGTGATGCAATTATAAATAAAATCTTCAAATTCTGTATTTTATAAAAAAATGTAATAATATGTTATTTATCTAAAATATTAAATTATCTAAAACCCTTTATCCTTCCCTTTCACATCGTATCCAATTCTGTTCTGTCTGAAAATGGATACTGTCGAAAATTAATTTACATCGCATAATGAGAAATAAGTTTGCTAAAATTACGAAATGCGTGTATGGGTAGATACCTATCCAAATGTACGCGTATTATATTAAACTTCTGTAACCCAATATCTAGCGTTCAAAATTTTAAATTAAATTCAAAAATAACAGCTGTTTTTTTAATTATGAGCTTTTCATAAGGCGGAATATAAATGATCAAAGAAGTTAAAATTAAAAAAAATTATCAATAAGTTTACAACCAAAAGATTTCTTTTTGATATTAGTCTTAACTAGCCTTTAACACAAGAAATAAAAAACAACTACTCGTAACATAAAATGTTATAATAAAAATGGTGATATATTATACTCGTAGCTTCTTTTGCCATTAAACTATCGAAATATCAAATGTGAGCTGTTGGTTTTTGTAAGCTTTATGGACTATAATTGAAAAAGAAAACAATTTTTATTCAAAAAAAATATAATTGTACAAAATTTTATTTTTATCCAAACTTCTAAACAAAGCTTAAATTAAAGCGTTTATAAAAAAGTGTCGTGTAAGAAAAAAATACTTGACTTTAGTTAAATTCATATTTTTTTTTATGTTAGATATAGATACACGATAAGTACTAGTCGTAGATAATAGTTTTAAAAAAGTATTGGATACTGAAATTAGATAAAAAACAGTTTTAGACGTTATTTTTAAAAATAGAACTTCAGTCTTTAAAAGTATCTACAAATATTTTCACTTAGGTTAACATTTTAACCATTTAAAAATTTAGTCACATCCGTTTTTAATTATTTTATTAACTTACATTTACAGAGCTGAAAACTGTGTGTACCCATTTGCTTTTGTTAAACACAATAAAAAAGTTTAATTAGTTTGCAGAAGCGTCGCGTAAAGCTCCTGTTATCGTACCTACATGAAATAAAGTTTCACACAATTGTGTTTAAGACTATTTGCAAAACAATCTATTCACAGAAAATTAAAGAGAATTATTGTTACTAACTTTATTCATTCAAGTTCCAAACTATAATTAGTTTTAAGAAACAAGAAAGAAAGTTTATACTAAAACGCATCTAGGGTGGTATGACGTCTTTCACCCTCGTCCTGTTAAAAAAAAACGCGGAAGCATATTATAAAATACAGCGTCAAACCTTAACGAAGAAAAATTTACCAGAAAACCTACCCTTGCTACGGTTTACATCATTCATTGAATTTCCTGTTCCATTAATAAATTTAACACTTGGGTTGAAAACGTATTTTTTTTTTAAACACATCCGACAGCTCTATTATTAGTTACTTTAAAGCGAAAAAAATGTGGAAAACGTGAACAAAGAGGACGAGAAGAATGTGTAACATTTAAGAGACGCGTTTGGTATTTTAATAAGTGTGGCTTAGTCTACTTACCTCTAGATTTACAAAGACTTGTAAAATGTAAAAACCCCCAAATTAAGAAACACGTTAACACTCACAACCCTTGTAGTTGTTTTAAGGGTGACTATTACGCCACGCTACTGCAGTCTGGATCCATACAGAAATTTCAGTTATATGTCCTGACCTCGGCTGCTTTCGTGCAGGATCGGCCAGGATAACGGCGTGGGTGGCCATGTTGAATGAGGAAGCTTTTAAGCTTGCGATAATGATTTTCGTTTCAATTATTACAATTGTCACAATTAAAACAAATCATTTAAAATTTACGCTTTGTGTTGCATCCTCTCTAAGTTTTGTTTATAGTTAATAAGTGGCGGGTTTAATTATCTCTTAGATGCCTGCAGACGTCATCGTCTCGCCTTTATTGTACAGAAGTTGGATCTAAAAATGTGACCATCGAACTTGAGAGCTTACGTTTGACAATAATTTTTACTGTTTGAACAGTTGTCGGGAATAAGAATAAATCGCTCTTGAGTCGCTCAATTTCAGGTTATCAAGCTTTCAGCTTTGTTGCTTTCTTGTTACTTTTCCTATTTTTGCATCGTTTTCATGCTTTTTCATGCATTTAATGAGAAATCGCATGTCTAGCAGGACATCAGCTTCTGGCATTTTTTAAAAGGTCAGGTCAGGATAATTCCGTCGTCTTTATATACTTCCTCTGAATGTTAATTTTTTTATGGCTGATGGATTTCATCTAGGTTTTAACACAAGTTATTGATTTTTTCCTATTTAATGCGGGTCAGGTATTTAAGTTAAACATTTTATCTGAAATGAAACAAACTTTTTTTAAGTTACAAAGAGATGAAAGACTGGCAATTATTACTTTTTTCTCGCTGACTAAAATCCAGAAACAAAATTAAATGTCACAATAAAAAGCTTTCCGAACAGTGACCTAGGTGCTACTACAGCTTTTTTAATCATTTTACTTTTAAACAAAGTGCTTAACTCGTCTGTTTTTAATCGTAGTAATTTAATTTTGAATCTTATTGTTAAAACTAAAATTTAGATAAGCAGTTTAAATGTTGCGAAAAGCATAAACAATAATACAATCTAGCATTTCTTTGTTTATAGTAGTTAGCGAAACATAAATCACATTAGAAACATTGTCTGTAAAAATAAACATTTTGAATATTGTGTATGCCATTTTTTCTCTCCCTAGTGTTTCAATATTTAATTTAATGAATAAACTCAGTCTAAATATGATTTAAATCCAATAATACATAACTTAAATCAATCCAAAATCACAGAATATTTTTAATAGCATAATTTTAATTACAGTTTTGTTGTCTGTAAGCAAAATGAGATAGAACAACAAATTGGTTTTATCGATCGTAAGGATATCGAGTTCGTGCTTTGAAAATTAATTTGACTACTCTTAAAAAATATTTAATTTGTGTACAAAAAAGTGTAAATACACTTTATTAATTAATGAATTTGCCTTTATTTTGTATCAAAAAATGTTACGTGCGTAGGACTGTTTAATTAATATGAATGACAACAAACCTCTGCTGTTGTTATTTACAGTGTCTCTTTAATGTGTGTAAGTAATTAGTTCAGGGCAGAATCATTATTATTAAAGTAATATCATGTAGACGTTTATAACGAATTCATGATGTGTCTGAAATTTCCTGTCGGTGATGGAAGGTCATTTCCGCTCTATCCTGGTTCGTAATTTTCAGCAGGGGCAAATTTTTCTTAATCTGATGAGTATAATTAACAAGAAATTTTAACTGTTATTGCAATCGAGAGTATTAATTAATTTTTTTTTGTAAAAAGCTTATGCATAAATAATTTTGTACAAGAATATTTGCCTGTTTGTTATTCACATTTTAAAATTAGCGGACTGTAAAAAGTAAAAAAGAGAGCGAAGCAAATCTGATAAAAATATAAAATTGAGTTCAAAGAAAAAAGTTATTTGGCTTTTGCAAAATTTTTTTCTCTTACACGACAGTGACAGATGAGGTATCAAACAAACTTGTAAAGGCTTTTATATTTTTGTTAAGATATAAATTGCGTTAGTGTCACTGTTTATTAAAGAAGCTTTTGAATTCTAATATCATATTAAATAACTTCAATTAATAAATTAATTATTATGAAAACAAATGATACAAACGTTAGAAGGATTAAAAGAAAGGTTTTTAATAAATTAATATATTCCTTAAATAACTAAATAAATAAATACATAATTACAAAACACTCAACATTTCTCTAAATATCTTTAAACGCGGTAAAGTTCATCACATGGGCACTTTTGAAAAATTGTTAACTGGTATCGATTCCGGTTATAGCAACTATCCAAGGTTTGTAAAAGGTCGTCCTCATATACACCCCTGGTAAATAGGGCGCCGCACATTTGATCCCATGCGACACCGTCCCTGCTAATTGATACCTTCCATCAGGCCTCTGCAGGACGAGAGGACCTCCCGAATCGCCCTATAAAAACATAATAAATATTCAGTAATACGTAAGTGCAAAATTACCTCGCAAGAATCCTTTTGGCCGTTCGCGTATCCCGCACACAGGAACGAATCCAGGATAACTTTGGAATGTCCTGCTGTCCGGAACATTTCCTGACAGACATGATTTTCCATAATTGGGACTTGTACTTCTTGGAGGACCGAAGGAACGCCTCCGCCGTATTTGAGACGGCCCCATCCCGTCACCGTAGCCATTCTTCCAGTGAAGTCTTCGCCGTCGCGAGGTAGACAAATAGGGACTGAAAAAAAGTTATTTAAAAAAGAGAAAAATGTTCCGGAGAAATTGGAGCAGTTGTATTTCATCACCGCGATGTGTTTTTTGCTCGTAAAATAGAATACCTAGTATAGAAACGCTTTCGTCTGATTGAATAAAATTTCAGACGCAAATATTCATGTTCTAAAACAGTGTAAAAACCTGTGATAACTAATTAAAAATTTAAGCAGGTTTCTGAAATTATAAGTAGATAAAAACAATTATTTTGTACTCAAAGTTAAAGAGTGCTTTTATTAACTAATCTCAGTAGATAAAGTAGACTTTTATCGTCTAGTGAAATAAAGTAATTTTTATCTACTGTTTAAATTCAAGAAATTCTGGTAGGTGAGTACAAAATAAAACGAAATATTACACACGACGATAAAGGTTGTTTATCTACTCGTGAAAAAAGTCCACTCGTGACTTAGTCACTCGTAAACTTAACCTTTTCACTCGTAGATAAACAATTTCTTTTCCGTCTTGTATAAATTATATTTATTATATGTATAAGACGATAAAGAAATGTTTGTTTATGTGAAAAGATTAAATGAGTGACAGAGTCACGAGTAGACTCTTTTCACAAAAAGTTGCAAAATAGTATATTATAAGTACATACATAAAAAGAGAGAAATGCACGATTATTTCTGAGGTGCACAAATAAATAAAAAAAATTCAATTTTCAACTTTACAATCTTTAAAACTGAATACTAAATACCGTCGTTTTATTATTTCTGTCATAAAAAAAATAGAGCAAATGTTGTTCAAAACCTAAGCTTTGCTTATTTTTAAAGAATCCATATTTTTTCCAAAAAGGACAACCAATTAATATGATTTTACAACAAATACTGTTTTTTCAACGTAAATAGTTAACCAATAATAGCTTGGTTTTATACTTTTTGTTCATCTTCTAAATCAACATTTTCTTTATTTTTTAGGTTTGTTGAAAAATTTTGATCTACATTTATAGTAATATCATTTTGCTAAGACCTACTAAAAATTTTATGACACATTAGAAGGAATTAACCAAACAATGGCTTGAATTTGTAACCCTCCATAAATGGCACGTTCCTTTGCAAGTGTTGCTGCACCCAACACAACACAACAGGGCCGTATTTAAAACCAAAGTAGTGGTAGAGTTTTACCAAGCTACTATTAAAAAAAAATCTGCTTTATTTAATAATAACTTGTTAATAACCACCTGGCTTTTTTAAATTTCTTAAAATACTTGACTACATCAAAAACTATTAAAATATTTCAAGAATTTTAGACAAAAAGAAAGTAAATAATCCGGCCCTGTTCAAAACTGACCTGTTTCAGGGTCCGGGTGGGTCCACTAATTTATGAATTGTTTACCCTCTGGTTTACTCTTAACAATACCGCATTTAACTTAAAAGTAATAAAATTTTTAGTAGGTCTTAGCAAAATGATATTAGTATACTTCTCTAACTCTGTAACATTTTACTCTTCTGTTATGTAATTTAAGTTATTTGTTTTAGTTTCTGCAAAAAGATTTTTCAGAATTTCATTTTTTTTTGTTACCCTGCTCCACAATTTAAGAACCGCTGCCATAAAACAACAACTGGTTCTCTAAGAATGGTTTTGCTAATATGTACCTACCAAGTTTTCGAATAAATTTCCGATCAAATTGACTTAGTTTTAAAATTAAATTGGCAACAACGAATTATTGGTGATATTAGATTGTATCAGATGACGGCATTGCCAGTGACCACACCTCGGAAATTAATAATAATGAAAATTGACTACCTATAAACGTGTGACGTTTGATGATAGTTTATGTTGCCAACTTAACAGGACAATTTGATCGGAAATTTATTTGAAAGCATGGTATTTCTTTTTTGAATTTGCTGCATTACACAATTTGTGTAATGTTTTTATGATTTCTTCGCAAAATCGTGAATGCTAGTTTAATTTAAATGAGACTGCAAAGCGGCTAAGTGGGCCTACATAACCAGATTGAGGAATTTGTGTGCGTGTTGAGTAAACCGTCTGCTAATTGGAATTTGTGGGCCCCCAAATCGGCATCTTTGTAATGGATCAGCGAACCGTTCCGACGATGATTATAATAGAAAGTAGCCTGCTCGCACCCAGGTACACACTCAATCTGAATCATAATTGACCGTCTACCTACTTTTCAATTTGCAAAAATACCGTTCGGTGGGCAAATAAGAAAATAAAACTTACTGATATGCGCGTCGAATTTAACCGGCGATTCCAGTTCGAGTAAAGCCAAGTCGTTTTCGAACGTTGCAGCGTCGTATTTTCTGTGTACGATAACTCTTCTAACGTTCCTACTGACCGGTCTTCGACTCTCGAGGTCTCCGGAGATATCGAATTCGCCGAA